ATTTGATGTATAGTATGTATACTATTTCATTTTGCTTTATAGGAGAACATAAGTTGGTGGATCTGTAGAAACTGAGATTGCTCCAAAATGAGTTGAAATGAATTTTGTATGCATTTTATAAGTTTGTGCATGCTTTATGTGTGATTTAACTTGGATAAATTTTAGAGGCTAAATTTGTACTGTGAGTGCAAGTTTTTATTCCATAACATCAAAGTTCTCAATTTGGTGATTTCACAGAAATTTGAATCATCTTAAAATGAGCTATATTTAATTTTATATGGATTTTACATGTTTTAGTTACTGTTCTTTTATAATTTCAGATTTTGTTTCCAAGGGGTCCACTGTCAGTGAGAGATCAATATACAAAAAGATCTCTGAGGTTTCTAAGAATCAACACGCAGACCTAGGCCCATATGTCAGTGAGTTGAAAAGTTGCACATTAAACCTTATAGTTGTTTAAATTCTCGAAACAAGGTCCCTGACTTCTTTTCTCACGCACAGAGGCAGAACAGCCATGGCTGAGCTCGATCTCGAGCTCACCGGCGACAAACGATGGCTCGTTTGGGGGTGCGACAAAAGACAAAATGAAGATCATGCTATTGCGATTCCATTCCTCTACTTTTCTTGGTCAGTGGACATCGGAGTAACGCCAGCGGCGAGTCTGAAAAGAGGATGTTTTCGGGTGGTGATGCATGTGCTTCTACAATCATGTATTGGTTAATTGGGTGCATGCATGTATGTTCTATAGGCTTCTGGGTGCTCACCGAGATGCTAGACAAGGCTGGGGATGTCTGTAGAGTCACAGCGACGGCGAAGCTCCATGGCGGCATGGCACAACTCCAGGGATGACGTCCGCTGCTCGATCTGTAAGGGGAGTCACCAATACGGTGCATGCAAGAGGTCAAAGGCTATCTAGAGAGGCCATGCATGCATGGAATTTGACTGACGCTCACCAGAGAGAATGGAATCGATGATGGAAGCGGTTGAACGGAGTTGGAAAAGACGATGTCGACCTCCAAGATCGCTGCGCCATTGGATGGGTTTCTTGAGGGTAAATGGAGAGGAGGTTGAGGTGAAGCTGGTGGCGTGGTGGCTCGCTCCGGCTTGATCTAGATTGATGGCAACGGCGACGATGTCGCTGCGGCGGTGCGCTGAGCGCGCTCCAGAGCTCCGGTGTGCACGGCAGCGTTCCCGTCGATTGGCTGCACCAGAGAGGATGAAATCAAAAGGAGAAATATTCGGCATGGTGAGGAGAGTATGGAACGCAAGAGAAGGGGAAACGACCGCGGCTCATCAACGATTGCGGCCATCGTCTTCTTCACGGCCGGCGATGGAGAACCAGTGGAGAAGAGCAGCGAGGATGCTCTCCCTCGGATGGATTGGCACTGGAATGGTGGGTGAAGAGTGGCGACGCGTCTGGGAGAGGCAGAGATGGAGCTCGGCGTTTTTAGGGCGTCGACACGTCGTGGCCACGCGTCGCGCGGCGTCCAGAGCCAGTCGGCGTTCGATCTCTCCCTCTCAGTGTTTCTCGGTCGGCTAGGGAAGTTGCACAGAGGAAGGGCAAGTCGGAGGGACTGACAAGGGGGCCCAGGTCGAAGTAAACTAAGTGGAAAAGATATGTGTAGGCAGAAACATGGGTGAGCTTGGTTTTTGGACGAATTTCCGGAATTATTTTCTCCTCTAATTTTGTAGCTTCAATACTCAATGTGTTGATCAGATTAACTAGTGTTGATTTTACTGGAGGTAGGTGTATGTACCTAGTTTCCATTTTCTTTAGTTGCACTCAAAAATTATGGATAGATTACTCACAGAAATTAGAGGAATATGGGTTCTTTGGAAACTAGTTCGAATTTTTAGGAGACTTAAACAGAGAAGATAAATTCTGGAAAAATTATTTTTATTCATGATAAATAACCTAGTATTTGAATAAATTATTTTACTTATACACTTTTATGCAGTTAAATGCACTTTTAGACAAAGTATGGTTTTAGCCGATTAAGAACTACAGTTAATCTAGTTTTTATTAGTTTGACTAATTTATTTGAGGTACCAAATTTAGTTATTAAATTATACCAAAATTACAGTGAGTTGTATATGTTAAGTAGAGCCTACATGAATTTTCCCATGATTTTATCTTGCACGAATTATTTTAGATAATTCGCAAGACTTATCTTTATATATGTGTTTTCCTTTCCTAAATGCATGTAAATGTTTATAAAAGTTATATTTGGACTCTCATTAACCTGAGGTGATATTGATATGTTAGAATTACAGTTTACCTTACACATGTCATAAGCTCCTTAACTATTTATGCATAAGTTTACTCTAGTATTTAATTAAGAGAATGCTTATAAAGGTAACTAAGGTGGAATATACCCTATATGAGTTAATTTATTTGTTCACTACCAGGTTCATGACTAGTCTTCAGATGGATGACCAAATAGTTTTGTGGGGCTTGACATTGGCCTTGTTGATATATTTTAAGGTGTATGGTTCCTATTTTAACTTCCTCTAGCTAGCACTAGGCCCTAATGGTTCAGTTGTTTATCTAGATCTTAATTAATATTCATGAGACCTATTATGATATGCAAATCGAAAATCCAAATGCAATCCAAATGCATATGAAGGACTCAAGTCAAACATGGCTATGAGAGTATGCATGCTTACACATAAATTTATTTTTTTTTGTCCTAGGTTAGAGATGCAAAGGTTTTAATTTGTTCTAAAATTTTATCATGCAAGAGTTTGATCAACTTCACCTTTGTTTAAAATGGAAATTTTTGGCTCTCAAAAATAGAAAAGTTAGCTTCCAACTATTTTGATAGGAAATTTTTAAGGTCTAGAATTTGGGTATGTTACAATAGAGTATTCATTTTATACGGCAAATATTTTAGAAATTATTCATAGTTTTTAAAATTTATACTCAAAGTTTTTGAAAGTCTAATACAAGTCTTACGTAAAACAACAACTATTTCTAACTTCCATGGATTTTTCTTTCTAAGGCAGTTCGCACGCAAAAACTTTTCACCCTATTACATCGAATGTTTGAATATATACATGGAGTATTAAATAGAAAAAAAACTAATTACATAGATTGCGTGTAAATTACGAGATGAATCTTTTAAGCCTAATTGCTTTATGATTTGATAATGTGGTGCTATAGTACGAGATGAATCTTTTAAGTCTAATTGCTTTATGATTTGATAATGTGGTGCTATAGTAATTAGGTTTAATAATTAGGTTTAATAAGGTTTAATAATGATAGATTAATTAGGTTTAATAATTTCGTCTCGCAGTTTACAGGCGGAATACGTAATTTGCTTTATTATTAATTTATATTTAATACTTTAAACGTGTGTTCGTACCTCCGATATGACACGGCAAAACGCCCACAAAAGCAATGCGGATTCCGATGAGCCGAGCGTCAACCGTGGAGTAATCCCAAGGCCAACATAATCACAGATGAGCGCGGCTCCCTAACGTCCTGCCGTTGGTGGTGGTGGGCCCCACCCGCCAGCGAGCGCCGACCCCGACATGCGCCACCTCGTCGGTGGCAAAACAAAGCAAAGCAAAAGCGCACGCAGGCAGGTGAGGTAACAAGTCAGCATTAGTTACCAGCCATTAACCCCACGGAGGGTAAGCGTGATTAACCACGGAGATTATGCTGCTAATTAATTTACTAGCAACTTGCTCATGCCGCGGATGATGCCATATATTGTTAATTAATGCTTGATCGTCGTTTTATTTAATTTTTTTAAATAGTATTTTACTATTATTAGATGATCAAATATAAATAGTAATGTATACGTGATTTATTTTAAATTTTTTTATAGTTTTTAAATAAGACGAAAAATTTAACATTGGACATATAAATGCATTTAAAATAGGATTGTAGGGAGTAATTACCCTTACCAACGCCCACTTCGCGTGGCTTTGCGCTGTCCCGCTCACACGCTGTCGCATGGTCACATTACACCTGGACGGATGGAGCCAACAGGGGAGGGGGTTGGAGATTCGAGACCTGCAAAGTGCACAGCCGAAAGCTACCCACATGAGTCACAGTCACCAAGCGTTGGTTTTCTTTCCATGTCACTTTCTCGTAGGCAGCAGTTGTGCCCCGACGTCTAGGATATTTTTGTTTTCATGCTTATCTCCTCAAGATATTGGTAAGGGGGTGATGTCATAGGTTTTAATGATGTTTGGTGTTTTCTGCTGGTATATTAGTTATGTTTGGAGTACTTGTCACATGTAAAGCATATGAGTATCATTCTAACATTAAATATGAGACAATTAATTGGGTTCATAGTTGTGCTTAATTCAGGTTACTATCCTAATAATTTTAAAATGTTATACAAAATTTTAAGACCATATGATCAATTATAACCCATAATTCTATGCGCTCTTCGTATATCCATAATATAAAATATTGAACTGCTAATGATAATATAATCGAGTCAATGTGATAGAGAATCAAGTAGATATCGATCAGATAATATCTTCTCAAACAAACGGTCAGTACCAACATTTGCTATTTATCATATCCATGTATATAATCGTTGTTCTATTAAAGCTATATGAACAGATATCAATAGATAATAACACATGGTCTTGATTGTGTTGCACCTTCTTTCTTCACAAACATCAAGGACAATTGTGCTAATCACAGTCATATAATATGCATTGCATTTTACTACACGAAGTTATATTCTCAAACGGACACATAAACCAGTAATATATACACCTTCATTATAGTATTAAACATGAGTTTATTACAGTATCGTATCGCGTTTATAATAGAAGATTCTCATGGTAATGAGATACCGTGAAATGGGAGAAAGGCTAGGATACCATTCCATCAATTCATCCAATGAGTAATAAAACTTCTCAATTTTAACAACCTGACCCAATCACAAAGGACGCGCCGACTTTGGTGCACATCTCTTTGGTTCCCCAAGCCAAAGCCCCCCAAAATTATCTAACCACTCTCTTCATCCCTAGCCTAATCATCCCTATCAACACACCTAAGCTCACCAAATTCCAAAATAAAAACACCAAAAAAGAGAGAAAAAGCGGAAGGCCACCTCTCCCATGGCACCACCACCACCCTGACGCCGACGCCGACGCCGACTGACTCACCCGCCGGCGAGCCCACGCCGCCCACCGCCGGAGACGGCCATGCCCCCCGTCGCAATCCAGCTCTACAGCCTCCTCTTCAAGCTCATCCTCCGCCGCCGCCTCTCCTCCCTCTCCGCCTCCGCCGCCTCCTCCTCCTCCTCATTCGGCGTCTCCTCCCGCGCCGCCGCCGACCACCACCACCCCTCGCCGCCTTCCAATCCCTCCTTCTCCTCCGCCGCCGGCGCTGACGCTGTTGCCACCAAGGACCTCCACCCCGACCCGCTCTCCTCCCTCCACCTCCGCCTCTTCCTCCCCAACCCGCACCACAGCGCCGCCCCCGCCGCCGCCGCGAACGCTCCGCCTCCGCTGCGGCGGAACTCGTTCCCGCAGCCAGCGCACGACGGGGGCAGCCCCGCGGCGGCGGTGGGGCAGGAGCTCTCCCGCCGCGCCAGCGCGAGCTTCAGCGGGGTGTCGCCCTCCGCCGCGCCGTGCTACGGCGGGTACCTGCCGACGGCGCGCTCCGGGAGGAGGCTGCCGGTGATCGTGCAGTTCCACGGGGGCGCGTTCGCCACGGGCGCGGCCGACAGCGCCGCCAACGACGCCTTCTGCCGCCGCGTCGCGCGGCTCTGCGACGCCATCGTGGTGGCCGTCGGGTACCGGCTCGCGCCGGAGAGCAGGTACCCCGCCGCGTTCGAGGACGGGGTCACGGTGCTCAAATGGATCGCCAAGCAGGCCAACCTCGCCGCGTGCGGGCGGACGATGGCGAGGGGGGCGGGCTCTGGAGGGGCCGATTCGTTCGGCGCGGCGTTGGTCGAGCCGTGGCTAGCTGCGCACGCCGATCCATCCAGGTGCGGTTTCTTGGCCTGATTTCTTGGGATTCGTTTTTTGGTTGCCGTGTGGATGAGTATTGTTCGTTCCTGGTTGCTAGAATCTAGATTCTAGAGTCAGCATTGAGCATTGCAAGATTTGGTGTGGTGACTTGTTAGGTTATGATGAAGTGATTGCGTTTGATGGATGAATGGTCTTTACTATAGTGAGCTAATCTCATTTCTTGCGGATTTGCGTCGTCCAACTTTGCAATGTGTGTGATAACTGATAAACTTTCGGGAATGTAGGTTTTGTTTTGACAGATCTAGTGAGGATTGTGTTTGTAGATCTGATCAATTCTGTGCTGGAGCTTTGGATTTAGTCATATACTTATTTTCTTGGTTGAGAAACCTGAGATAGAACTAACGCTCAAGCCGCTGCATAATGTGGCATACATGATAGTTTGCAGACTGTATTCAACTGCCACTGACACATGGCCAACTCAGGCATGATTGGTTTTCAAATAAGTTCAATGATGGGCAGTTGAATGTAGGAGTAAACAATATCAACTTAGGAATAAGGAGACTGAATTTAGAATTGTTCTTTCAACCAGTCCTATGATTCTTTATGTTGGTCGAATTCAGTTGGTCCCTTCTCAAGCCTACACTGTAAATATAGTGGTTTAAGTTAAACCATTTAAATGGATGGCTTTAGATCTATTCTCGATCGTAGCCTGTACTTCGCTGTAGATCGTAACCATTTAATAGATGCCTTCTCTGTAGATGGTGGTAGCATGAGCTGCACAGTGGTCATTCTGGTATACATGTTCAAAATTTGTCCTGTGCCTGCATCTTAATGGATTATGGGTTCTCATGTGTTCAAGAAATTTGAAGTCGACCATGACAGAATTAATGTGTGTGTAACAATATCAAGTGGTTAATAGTAGTAGTCAGGAGACGAGGGGAGGGAGAAAAGGGTTGGAACCTTGGAGGAGAAATATCAGTTTGCATCTGCATGCTCTTGGAGATCAGGAGGTTGAGGAAGAATAAGAGGAGATGGTTAGCGGCACTGGATTGCTGGGTGTAAGGAGCAGGTGGAGACAGAAAATCAAACTAACCCATTGCGTTCTATATGACTTGAAGGGGAAGGGGTTTTATGAAATGAGAGATGAGGAAAAAATAGGAGCTTAAGTGCTGAACAAAATAATGGGATAAAAAAATGAGTATTGGAAAGGGTGAATCATCATTGGGAAAGATGTGTGGCACATGGTGTTCTTTTGTTGGGACATGGTGAGATGATTTCTAGAGTTTCATAAGTGCCTTGTGGCTCCACTATTGCATTGTTTATCTATTATATCTTCAGTAATGTTCCAGATTGTTTCGTATGCATGAATATTTGTTATATATATATTTTTTTTGTTGGCATTTTGATCTGTGGGCATAAATTGCATGTGAGGCCAAAAGTACTATATTTTGAAATATGAGAACCTAAAGTACTCATGCAGTCACGCTTCTCAAAAACATTTTGTTTGATGGTGACCATGTCTGTGTCAGATTAAATCTTGATCAACTATTCAGCTTTCTGTTGTAGCATGAAGTTTAATGGGGATGACAGAAAAATGTGTAGCTGTTATGCTTCCCTTTATATAGGATAGTTTTTAGGCATTGGCATATTCAGTGCTTCAGTGAATTATGTTGAAGGATTAAAGTCTGAGTTGATCATGATTAAGTGCTTCAGTGAATTATGTTGAAGGATTAAAGTCTGAGTTGATCATGATTACGTTGTTAGATAATTGGCGAGAAGAAACAACATACGATCTTCAAGATGGAGATTAGGTTAGTTTAGATTTCTTTTTATGTAACCTGCCCTTACAAAAGACTCAAACTATTGTACAAAGCATAGTGACTGCTAGCCCAAATATGTTAGCAACAAAGATGCATTGTTTATACTTTTCCATGATACATTTTATGATTTCTTATATCTTCAGTTGTTGCTTCTAGTATTCATGATGGAAGTATGACAATAATTTATGTTACATTTTTTTGCCGCATGCTCTCTGAAGGATAATTTTCATTTTTTATGTTTCTGGGGTGATCAATGGGCTGCGAATGCAAGCTCAATTTGATCGGATCAGTACCACCATTGTGAACATCCTTTGAAATCATGTATGTTAACCGACGAAAGCCAAACTAAAGGGTATAATTTGTTTGGCTAAAATCTTGGGATTAGAAATTAGAAAGCAGTCCAGATATCAGTGAAAACTTGTGGTAAGACAAAGCAGGATGGAGCCAATTCAGATTCGTACTCAGCTGGGAAAAGTAATCAGGAAAATATATGCATTATATGCCTTAGGAATTGAAGTGTGCTAGTGTTTTACAATGGAGTTGATAATATCAGTTTCGGCATGCAAGAAATAAGTCAACCTTTGTATTCCTAACCCGTCTACTTTCTCCCATCCCCTGCTGATATTGGTGTTGAATGCTGGTGAGTAGTCCTTACAATTACAATAATTGCAGTAAAGGTACCCACCAGTCGACCACAGCAACTGTAAGTTCATTGATCTGATAAATTGGCAAAACATATGACCACAACAATTGTAAGATCATTGTTCTGATAAATCGACAAAATGTAGCTTGAACTAATATTTCCCTACATCTGTTCTTCTCTAGCTATTTAATTCAACAGAATAGCCCCATCCCCACCTGGTCTCTGATACCTTGTGTGTTTAACCTTTTTTGTTTTGTGTAACAGTGTAATTCGTTTGCGTGTTGATCTGTGTGTTGTGTGTGCCTCACATTATACATCCCTCCTGTTCTAGACATTTCATTTCTTATGCATCCTAGTTGTAGTGGTGTGGTGCACATGTGACTTCTAAGTGTCAGTGTTCTGTATTTTGTTTAATGGTAAATGTGCTACTGATACCAGTTACTGACATGCATTTCCTCTTTGATGGTAATAGGTGTGTTCTCCTTGGTGTCAGCTGCGGAGCGAACATTGCTGACTATGTGGCTCGAAAAGCTGTTGAGGCTGGGAAACTCCTCGACCCCATCAAGGTCGTCGCTCAGGTTTTGATGTATCCATTTTTCATGGGGACTAGTCCCACGCAATCGGAACTGAAGCTGGCAAACTCCTATTTCTATGACAAGTCAACGTGCTTACTGGCCTGGAAACTCTTCTTGCCTGAGGGTGAATTCAGCTTGGATCATCCAGCTGCAAACCCTCTTGTTCCCGGTAAAGGTCCCCCTTTGAAGCTCATTCCTCCAACATTGACAGTTGTTGCGGAGCTGGACTGGATGAAGGACCGCGCGATCGCTTACTCGGAGGAGCTCCGCAAGGTAAATGTGGATGCCCCTGTTCTCGAGTACAAGGATGCGGTCCATGAGTTCGCCACGCTGGACGTCTTGCTGAAAACACCACTGGCTCAGGCTTGCGCCGAAGATATAGCCATCTGGGTTAAGAAGTACATATCACTGCGTGGCCATGAATTATCATATTGACTGTGTCGCGGTGCGCTTTCAACGAGATTTTCACCTGAGCTGCGCCCTTCAAGGCTTCGCAATGGTCACTCCACTACTTCATTTACCTCCCATGCTGCACTGAAACCATTTGATGAAGCAGGGAGAGGTACACTGGCCGAGTGGTAACATGGGTGCTGAAGAAAGGAGGGGGAGAGAGAGAGATGCTCTGTGATGTAAGTTGGTTCTTTTATGGCAATTTAGGTTGCCTGGGGTCAAGGATCTGAGTGTAATCTAGTACAGGACGGTTGTTGTATATTTCCACGTTCTAATGGCATCTCAAGTTTTCATGTATTCGCTTCCCTGTCCATAGATCTGCTTGGCCTGATCAAAGCGGTTTATTCTGTTTCTGTTTTTACCCCCTGGTAATGAGTTGATATGCAAAACGCATCTTATAAATGGGAGGAGTGATCAAACGGTGGGTGTGTGTGTGTGTGTGTGTGTGTGTGTCTGTGTCTGTATGTATGTATGTATGTATATTTATTTATTTATTTATTTATTTATTCGATTATTGTGAAGAAAAAGACGGCAATCGACAAATGAGCTACATGTTTGTGAGTGGAATCTTGCTAAGAATGACAGGTTGGGTCATTCTTAGGCTGAGTTCGTTGGAGTAAGTTGGGAACTAATCCCTCCGTCACGTAACATGTACTGACTCATTAGCGTATGATTAATAAAGTATTAGCTATTTTTATAAAATGGATTAATATGAGCTGGGAAAGGTAGCAAAGGAACACAACCTTACTGGTGGGTCAATATATAATATATTGATAGGGTGGTAATAAAGAAGAGAAGACAAAATTAAGCCAAGGTAAATATAAGAAACCACTTTTTTTAGGTAAAATATAAGAACGCCACGCTGGTTTTCTGCTCGTAAATAAGTGATGAGGACCTATAAAAAAGCGATGAGGACATTCAATGATGTTTTTACAGAACAATATATTAACTACATCATGTCAATTTCAAATTCCATCAATGGAAATGAAACCAATTAAACTTTTTATAGTCAAAGTTTATATAAACCCCACATGACTGATGGCACCTAACATTGAGAGTATACAATTTTTAATTTAAGTAACAAACAATATAATGGGCTTGTTCAGCTGCTCAGTCCGCGCCTGCGCCTTAGCTAGCACTAATAGTGCTGCACACACACAGCAGCAGCAGCGGCAGATACCCGCCTGTCGAACAGATCCAATGATGGAATATAGATATTTATACAAATCTAGAAATTTGTACAAGCCTTTTGCCTTAAAATAGGGTTATTTGAAAACAAATTATACGAATCCTATATATCTATAAAATTCATCCCCACTAAGTGTAGTTAATGCTAATTCTCTCTTCTCCCATGAAGCTATATCACCTCAATTGTTTTTACCTATTGGATAATTCATCAAGGGTGTAAATTGCATCTCTTCGCATCACCTCAATTATTTTTAAGCTTTTGGATGATTCATAAAGGGTATAAATTATATCTCCTCCCTCCAAAAGACACACCATACAACCCAATCATTTATAACCTATGGATAATTGATAAAGGTAAAATATATATAAACATATGAAAAAAAATCGTATAGTAGGTAGAAAGGGCCGCAGAGCCACTCGGGGCTCCCTGGCAGGCGACGACGACAAGATGGTGCCAGAGTTGGAGTTGGATGACGATGAGGACGACTCCGGGTCCGACTGCGAGACCGATTCGGAAGATGACCGGCGCCGCGGCTACCGTCGGCCGGTCCCCCAGGGCGGTGCTCTGCGCGTCATCTACAACGGCTTCTACTTCAGGTGCCTGGTCTGCCCCGGCAAGATGGCGTCCCGGTGGAATAGCATGGAGGATATCAAGAACCACACCGTGGGGAAGGCGAACTCCTCGAGCCTGAGGGAGGAGAACAAGAAGTGGCAGCGCCACCGCGTCCTGGCCCGGAATGAGGGCTGGATGCCAGCATAAGGTTCGGGTGTTCGTCTGTGTCTCTGCCGCCGTCCATTCTAGGGGTGGATTAAGTATAGAACTTTGCTGATCGTTTGAATGTTATTAAGTATGAACTTCGTCTAAGTCTATTTTTTTAAAAATATGAACTTAAGTTGAAAGGATGGGTTGGTTCTGAAGAGTGTTTTCTTTGTGATGTTTCTGAAACCACAAATCATATCCTTTTTGAGTGCCCTGTGACTATTTTTGTTTGGTGCACCTGCAGAGATGCCCTAGGCTGGGACGCTTGCCCTTGGAACTTTGATGATCCTATATATCTATAAAGTTCATCCCCAGTAACTGTAGTTAATGCTAATTCTCTATTCTCTCATGAAGCCACATCACCTCAATTGTTTTTACCCTTTGGATGATTCATCAAGGGTGTAAATTGCATCTCTTCACATCACCTCAATTGTTTTTAAGCTTTTGGATGATTCATAAAGGGTATAAATTACATCTCTTCCCTCCAAAAGACACACCATACAACCCAATCATTTATAACCTATGGATAATTGATAAATGTAAAAAATATATAAACACATAAAAAAATCGTATAGTAGGTAAGAAAGAAAATTTTAGAAGTAATATGTACTATATTATCACATAATTCTCCCGTAGCAACGCGCGGAGTACCCATCTAGTAACTAGGGTTTTGCGTGATTTTGTGTTATAGATGCCTAAGAAAGTAGAATTTCATGAAATCAACTTATTGTCAATTAATTTTTTTTAATTCATAGGCACGTAGGTACCACCATGATATGCCATGTCAACACTCTGGAGTGGATTGGAGCTCGTTTGAACCTGTATGGCATGAAGTCAACTTTAGGAGCCCAAAAATATGATCTAAATGACGCACCTGCAAAAGTTTAGGACCACCTATATACTTCACTCTTATTTTAAATATAGTACAATTTATCTCGGATTTGAATAAGAATGTGTTTTTATACTCCTAAATCACAAAATGTATGTCACAAACTACAATAAAGGTTTTATACAACTTATCTTAACTATTGAAAGGTAAAACTAAAAATGTAGCCGGAATAAGCCATCATTTAGAAACTATTCACCATTGGATTCAGATGGAGACAAAAATAGGGATATGCAACCAAAGTCATTAGATCAAGGGTTAATTTGATCCATGCCACTATAAATTTGGCTATTCAGAAAAAATATCATTACAATTCGTGTGTTTGTAACAGCGACATTGTAATTTTACAAAATTATAACTGTGCCTCTGCCGTCACTTTTCCCATCTCTCCCCTGCCTTTTCCATCTTCTCCTTCCTTCTCCCGTTTTCTTCCCCTTTCTGCCTTCTCTCTTCGCTCCTTCTCCACGGGCCGAACGACGCGAGGCGCGGTGAGTTGAGAGTGGCAGCGATAGAGGGAGGGAAAGGGGGTCGCGGCGACGGAGTTGCTAGTCGGCAGTCGTGAGGAGGCGGTCTCGTAGTCGGTGCTCGATCCGGTGTGGCGGCGGCGTTGGGGCAAGCTCGATCTGGCGTGGCGGCAGTGTTGGGGTGAGCCAGCACAGGAGGAGATGGCGCGCCGGCGGATGGACGCGGCGGCCGGCACGTGATGGCGCAGGCGGGATGGCGTCCCGAGGCCGGGGCGGCGGGCAAGAGCGGCATGAAGAGGAGGCCGACGCGGGGCGAGGCAGGCAGCAGTGGGGAGCAAAGGAAGGTGTTGCTGCCGCCGCCGGCCGCTACCGCCGGGAGAGGAGCATGAGGACGAGGGCCCTACCGCCGCGGTGCAGCCCGCCCCCAACGCCACTGCCCGCCGGTTTTATGTTATTTTCTATATATGACTTACAAACACGCTATAGATAGAACTTTAAATTTTAGACGTTTATTACAGCTTTATAAAGAACCATATGTTGTATATAAATATCTTAAAAAATGATATAACCAAAAATAAGAGAAATGGAGGATAGTGTCATGGGAAGGCAGAGATGATGAAAACACATCAACTCATGCAACACTGTAGATGATGATAAATAATAATAAAATTATACTACCCGTTGATATTTCTTGACGACATTAAGTAGAGGCAATGGCACCAGACATATTAGTCGGTATTTTCTTACGATCAAGGATATAATCCGCAAGTGCAAAGATATACCGTTGTTGCATTTCACCTTAAAATATTTCCAAGGTGTCTTATTTTTAATCTCAAGTGAAGATATGGTAAGAGTGTACTATGTTATTAATGTACATCACACTTAAGTGATCGAAATCTCATGCAAGGGTTAGTCAATTATGAATAAGGGTATGTTGACACATATATGGATCAATCAAGCTAACTCTCTCTAAATGACAATATAGACTAAGCGGAGAAGAATGAGAACTAAAATTTTGGGAACTAAAATTTTAGGCATCTCTCGGAGAAGGGGGTGTTTTTAGGCCAAATTAGGTTTTGGCTGTCTCAATATAGGGTTTTTGGCACGGTCATTTTTTCTAGTTAAGGCTGTGTTTAGTTCCCTTCAAACTTTCAAAAATTCCGTTACATCAAATGTTTCGACACATGTATGGAGCATTAAATGTGGACGAAAAAAATGCTAATGACAGATTAATTAGGCTTAATAAATTTGTCTCGCAGTTTACAGGCGGAATCTGTAATTTATTTTGTTATTAGTCTACGTTTAATACTTGAAATTTTTTTTAGACCAAGGGCATTACGCCCTCATCTCCATTTCTAGAAATGAAAGTTTAATATATTTTAAATGTGTATCCGTATACGTTAAAATTTTTTTTAAGGAGAAACTAAACACGGCCGAAGTGAAAAAAAAAATACGACTCCATAGTTTTAGCCAATCTGAATAAAAAACCAGCCGAACACAGCCAAAACCCACATCTCGGTTCGGCCCGGTTCAGTGGTCGGTCTTGAGCAAAATCAAATCATCTTTTTTCCCCCACCCTTTGGACTCTCGTCAGTCGTCGGAAACCCTCGACCAATCTCACAACCCTCTCCATGGCCGCCTCCGTCTCGCCCGCCGCCTCCCCTCCCCGCCGCCACCGCCACCGCCACGACGACTCCCCTCCCCGCCGCCGCCGCCGCCACGACGACGACTCCCCGCGCCACCGCGACGACCGCAAGCGCCGCGCCTCCCCGTCCCCGTCCCCGTCCCCCTCCCCCTCCGACCGCGACGCCGACCGCCACCGCGGCAAATCTAGGGCTTCCCCGCCCCGCCGCCCCCGCGATTCCGACCCCGCCGAGAGCAACGGAGGAGGAGCACCCAAGCCTGGCGGGGACAACGGCGGCGACCGCTCCCCCCGCCGCGCTAGGGTGCCCGATGCGGAGGAGGAGGGTGGTGACCGCAGGAGGAGGCCGTCCCGGGTTTCCGACGACGACAAGGAGGGCGGCCGCCGCCGGAGGAGGCGCTCCACCGACTCCGACGACGAGAGAGGCGACCGCCACCGGAGGCGCCACCGCCGCCGGAGCCCCAGCTCGGAGTCCTCTGATGGTGGCCGTAGCCGTCGCCACCGTCGTGACGAGAGCTCCAGGCGGCAGAGAGATGAGAGGCGCCGGGACAGGGGCGGTCGCGAGGAGCGACGCAGGAGCCCTGATAGGAAGGAGCCGACTCCGCCGCTGCCCCCGCCACCGCCGCTCTTGCCGGAGTTGATACCCGGCCGCACAGGAGGAATCTACATCCCGCCTTTCCGCATGGCGCAGATGATGAGGGAGGTAGAGGACAAGTCGAGTCCCGAGTACCAGCGTCTCAGCTGGGATGCTCTCAAGAAGAGTATCAATGGTCTGGTGAACAAGGTGAATGCCACCAACATAAAGAATATAGTGCCCGAGCTGTTCGCCGAGAACCTGGTTCGTGGAAGGGGGCTCTTCTGCCAATCGTGCATCAAGTCGCAGATGGCTTCGCCTGGCTTCACAGATGTGTTTGCTGCACTTGTCGCGGTTGTAAATACCAAGTTCCCTGAGATTGGCCGCCTGCTTCTTGTTCGTGTTGTGCTTCAGCTCAAGAGGGCATATAAGCGAAATGACAAGGTAACTTTCCTCAATTCTCCTTTTCAGCTTGACATGTAATGTAAGATACTGCTACTGGCTCAAACATAACTAGTATGGAAGACCTTGGTTAGTTTTATGCCATGTTGGAGTGATGTCTGGCCTGAATTCTAGTCAAGGTTTCTAGCACTGTTTGAAAACGAACACTTCATAAGATTATCTATTGCTTAATTTTATGTTTTTGCATATGCAATGTTTTAAACAACAGCTCTTGGTTGTTGCAGCCACAATTGCTTGCAGCAACCAAATTCATAGCACACTTGGTTAACCAGGTTGTTGCTCATGAGCTCGTGGCGCTGGAGCTTCTTACCGTGCTGCTTGAGAACCCAACTGATGATAGTGTTGAGGTGCACTCTTGTTTTTGAGTACCTTTGTATTAATCAGAACTTCATTTTGTGCAATATCTGAAGTATGGATATATTTCTTGTCTGACAGGTAGCAGTGGGGTTTGTTAAAGAGTGTGGGGCAATGCTACAGGACTTGTCTCCACAAGGGCTTCATGGTAGGTTCTTTATATCACCTGTTATTACAAGTGCTTATTTTGACTGCATGACTTGTTGAACCTGTTGGCTAGCACAACAGTGTTTCACGATATTTTTTGGACTTAGGAATGGTATTCATTTCATCTGTGTGATATTGGACATGTGAACTGTACAGTACCAAACAGTGAGTTTAATTGCTGTTAACCTTAAAAATGTACAAGGAATAGGTTAGGTGAAGTCATGCTACCTAACACAGTCCAATTCAGGTTTACCTGTGACAATTGTGTAATTTGAACACTTGTGCTGTTGCTAAATGTAGTTTTATTTGTCCCAAAAATTAACTAAAGCAAACCATTGCTCAATTTTTTTCATCTTCTTCCATTATTGTTTTCAATGGATTTGCCTTCTCAATCTTTGCAGCTATTTTCGAAAGATTTCGAGGTATTCTTCATGAAGGTGAAATAGACAAGCGTGTGCAATTTTTAATTGAAGGACTGTTTGCAATTAGAAAGGCTAAATTTCAGGTATGCTCATATTGTTACTAATATTTTCAGGTATTCTTCGTGAATGCTTGTAACAAATTCTGACCTGTATCTTATATGTGAAGGGATTCCCTGCTATCCGTCCAGAGTTGGATCTTGTGGAGCAGGAAGACCAATTTACTCATGAGATATCCCTTGAAGATGAGCTAGACCCAGAGACTAATCTAAGTGAGCTTTTATTTCTTCTGTGAACATATTCACTTTGCTACATTTATGAGATAAAAGCTTGTGTTAGTTTTGTTTGGAATACGACGCTTTTATTGGAGTTTCAGACACCAGTTCAATTCCCATAGGAATCTCGAAACTTTCCTGCATTTCATGTGTCTTAAGACTTCTGTGTGCTATTGCACTTACCTTTTCCAACCTGCAGATGTTTTCAGGGCAAATCCTAATTTTGCTGAAGATGAGAAGGCGTATGAGAACCTAAAAAGAAGCATCCTGGGAGCAGAATCTTCTGATGATGAAGAAGGGTCTGATGATGCTTCTGATGAGGACGCTGAAGAAGAATCTGACGATGAAGAGGATGAAGAGCAGATGGAGATTAGGGATCAAACTGAGACTAATCTCATTAACCTTCGAAGAACCATATATTTGACAATTATGTCGAGTGTTGATTTTGAAGAAGCTGGTCACAAGCTTCTAAAAATTAAACTCGAGCCTGGCCAAGAGGTAAGTATTGTAGGTTGACTTATTTCTTTATATTAGAACTTGGAACAAATTGTTGTGGTAATGCATGAACTTTATTGTCTCAACAATGGTTTTATTTGCCATCTGTGTAGTTATTATGCTAATTGTCTTTCTAGAAAATTGTGTCAAATTCTTAGCATTAGTACAATGCAGCAATTTGTAGTTAATGCCTCCATTTACATATGGTTTATAAGTACCATTTGCTTCATTTGGCTCCTTTCTTGTAATTTAGGTTATTTACATGGTGGGGGTTCTTAAGGAACAATAATAAGGATTCAATTGTACATGTAACTTTCTGTCATGGGCTTTGGGTTGGTCGTCCTAGGCCCATTGGATAGGATTAGGGTTTGTTAGGATTAGATTAAGGACTCCTCCATCTATATAAGGAGGGATCCTATCCTAGGTCAGTTAGGCATTAGATCAAGATTTATCTTAGTGCCCATCGGCCTGCCTTCTCAGTGCAACAGAGAGCGTCGCGCTGTTTAGGTTCAGGACCGTTCCTTGTTATTTCATCTACTATAATCCAATCTATCCCTATTCATCCCGATTCTTCTCCACATAATCCTTGCCCATGACAACTTGGTATTAGAGCTTCGGTTCCGTGCCCATGGGTACCGAGATCGCTGCGGTTCCCAACATCAGCGAAGGCCTTGCCAAGATCTCAAAGAAGATGATGGACTTGGCGGCGCAACTCCAGGTTTTGGCGGCTCAATCAGCCGAGCAGGCCATGCCTCTCGGAGCCGCCGAGCGATCCGACCGGCGGGCCATGACGTTCCTGCGCCCACGGCAGCAGGACTTCAAGCGCCGTTTGCGGAGCAGGATGCGTCACATGCAGCAGCCAAAGGTGGCATCAACAGCACCACCTCTGCCCAAGCCGCCTCCAAGGGGTCTTCGACCTAGTTGTTGGGCCTGTCGATGGCGTTGTCACCTCCAACCGAGATGGCACGGTTTCCGGCAGGAGCAGGGATGGCGGCGCGGTTTTTGGAAGCGGCAGGAACAGCAGAGCTGTTTCCATCGCTACTTTCAACAGCGGCGGTGGAGAAAACGGCGACTTCTGTTACCTTGGAGTCACGGTGTGAAGCAGGGTCATCACGTTCTTTTGGGGATGGCACTGAATACGATAGAGGGAGATAGGGATTCTGTTTTCCCTCAGCTACGCCAATTAAATGGGCCAGACTGGTGGACTGGGCTTCGATCAGCAGCTAGCCCATGTTGGCTTAGATATGCTTATCACACGGGTCAGTCAAGTTGGGCTTTTAGATTTGGATTGTGGCGTGGGCCTAAATTTCCATACAGGGCTTCAGGATGGGGTCCTCCTGTCTATGTTCTTGATGACAATATAAGAGTAGGGTTGTTTGCAATAGTATTAGTTATATATATATTTATAATAAGCCAAGATGTAAAAGGCTTAAGAGTCTTAGTTTAGGTTATGATGTTTTGTTGAGTCTAGCAGGGTCCGCTGCAGCTCGAGGACGAGCTGCTCAAAAAGAGGGGAGTAATGTCATGGGCTTTGGGTTGGTCGTCCTAGGCCCATTGGATAGGATTAGGGTTTGTTAGGATTAGATTAAGGACTCCTCCATCTATATAAGAAGGGATCCTATCCTAGGTTAGTTAGGCATTAGATCAAGATTTATCTTATTGCCCATCGGCCTGCCTTCTCAGTGCGACAGAGAGCGTCGCGCCGTTTAGGTTCAGGACCGTTCCTTGTTATTTCATCTACTATAATCCAATCTATCCCTATTCATCCCGATTCTTCTCCTCATAATCCTTGCCCATGACACTTTCAGGTCCAGTTGATAAGCTTATTCAAATCATCTGCTAGTTTACACTTATTGCATTGATCAGACCTAACTACTAAATAATAACATATGCTAGGATGAAAAATCGATGGTCAAAAAGCTTCCAGATGGTTTGTTTTTTCACAATACAGTACTTGATGTCAAACAATCCCTCTTCAATTTGCATAATCAGATTGGTTCTTTTAGTTCTTCAGTGCTGAATTTGCCAGACATATTATTTTCCCCTAAGCCAACTGTCTGTTTCATTGACAGATGGAATTGTGCATCATGCTTCTCGAGTGTTGCAGTCAGGAGAGAACTTATCTTCGATATTATGGATTATTGGGCCAACGATTTTGCATGATTAACAAAGTTTACCAGGAGAACTTTGAGAAGTGTTTTGTGCAGCAGTATTCCATGATACATCGTCTTGAAACAAATAAGCTAAGGAATGTTGCTAAATTTTTTGCACATCTGTTGGGTACTGATGCACTTCCTTGGCACGTTTTGGCCTACATCAGATTGACTGAGGAGGACACAACGTCTTCATCTCGAATTTTCATTAAAATACTCTTCCAGGTATGTTGTTAATGTTCTGCTTTTATTTACTATGTCAACTCATCTTTTATCAAAGTAGACAATTGAAGTATATGTTTATTGTTATGCAGGAGTTGTCTGAACATCTTGGTATTCGTCTACTCAACGAGAAACTGAATGATCCCAACATGCAAGATTCATTTGATTCAATATTCCCAAAGGATCATCCAAAGAATACAAGGTTCTCCATAAATTTTTTCACCTCCATTGGTCTTGGGGGTATCACAGAGACCCTGAGAGAGTACTTGAAGAATATGCCTCGACTGATAATGCAACAACAGAAACCCGCCTCTTCTGAGTCGGGATCAAGTGATTCAGGATCTGCTTCAGACAGCTCCAGCTCAGAGTCAGAATCGAGCTCTGATGAGAGTGACAAGAAGAGAAGCAAGAGGCGGAAGAGGTAAGAGAATGAAGAAAATTAATTGCACTGTTGCTTCTGGGATGCAACTGTTGTTAGATCAGCATCGTCAGATTTGGCTGTTCTGTTGGATCCTCCTGTATTTGTATCCATGTGCAAAATCAGATATAGCTGTTGGTGCTTGTTGAATTGAGGACCCAATCATAATCTGAACCCCAATAGCTGTGAATCTGTGATGGTGTAAGATATTAAGCGAGCTAGTATTGGTTCCTACCTTCAAACCATGTGAGACAAGCCAAATCGCCAGCAATCCTCACAGGAAACTGGAATTCTAATTTTCCTTTCATATGCTTTAGGCAGTGCAAGTTTTGTATCTTGAGAAATTATCTTCTTACGGTCTGTAGTTTTGCAACAGTACTGAGCTAAGCAGGAAGCGATCAACAGTAATGTATGTGCAAGTTGTAGTGTTTCTGCCCCTATGTGGTGAGCCTTGCTCATCTGTTGGTATACTGCTGTTTTCGTGGTGTTATTATGGGCATCACCAGCATTTTTGTGTATCATTAGTATCTTTGAGGAAGTATTACAGAAAAATCATTGGTTTATCATGGTGGCAGCGTTGAAGTTTTACGGCAACATAATCGGTGTTTACATGGCAGTATAACCTGTTTTGTGGTAGCAACTGGCACGGATATCAAGGGCGTTTTGTGGATATGCAAGTTTATGGAGATATTGTGAATATCACGCGTATTTTCTGTTCCATAAAGGTACCATAGTCCATGGAGTAGTTCCTGATAAAAATATATGTAAAAATATTCACTACTAGAAAGAATATTTTATCGCTCAAAAATTCTAACTACTTTGTGATTTGTTTTAGAGATGCAACATCCAAAAATACCCTCCCACCTCCACCACAAGGCCCTCCTTCCCTCCCACCTCCACCACAAGCCCCTCCTTCCTTGGACGAGGGCAAAGCTCGCTAGCTTGCCCGAGGAAAGTGAGGCAGCAACTGTCGGTGAGCCCTTGGAAGCGACGAGAAGGTAACAGTAATTTAGAATGAGCCCTTAGACCCCTATTTGAAACAAAGTAAAAACCATAGAAAATCTAGAGGATTTTATTATATAATCCTTTGTTTATTGTTTCCTATCAATTCTTTTGAAATTCCCGAGGAATGAACCTTGCTAGGACAATTTTGAAAGAAAATAAGCATGAGGTCTCATCACCTCATGTTTTTCTCTTTTAGTGTCTAAAATTTCTACGATTTTTCTATGTGCTAATCAAACGATAGGTTTTGATTGGTTACAACTAAGGCTGCCAATGGATTGAAATCTAGCCCTCATTCACCCCAACCCAAAGCAATCGACCTAGTTTACCCAATCCAAACCATTCCACATAATCATTTTTTAAACCCCACCCAACCCAGCCCACATGTTGCTTTCACCCAAACCAGTGTTGGAATTAATAGGCGGGCTAAGGCCCATTCGAAGATTAATTCGTTGGAAAATCACAAAAGCCCACCTCATAAGTTGACATGCATATGGAGTTTAGTACCACCTTGTTTATTCTAGGAGAGGGGGACCTCCTTAAAAGAGAGGATGCCCTCCTAGCCCCTTGAAGCATGTGTGGTGGAGAGAAGAGGGGGATCACACGCGCGCGCTCGCTTGCCTTGCCTGGCAGGCGGCGCGCGTGCACGACGTACGCGTTGAATGGTCCGCAAAATTGGCTCCTCACCCTTGCGCAGATGCAGCCTCCTTTTGCAGTTTTGTTTTGCTGCGGAAATTCGGATTTGTTTTGTTTTGGAAACATTCCGAAAAATCTGGTGCTGCGGGCGCCCTGATCAAGCGACCTATCTCTATATAAACCGAGCCGCCGCCTTCACACAACATACGCGAAATCAATCTAGGGTTTGCCTCCTACTCTGTGCTGCGCCGTCGCTCGTAGACTACTCCATCCCGCTCGTCGGCGTGCACCGGCGATCGGGAGAGCAGGTCTCCAGAACCTCTGGATTCGACGTCCTGCACCGGGAGAAGGCGGCAATAAGGTTTTTCGGAAGCGCTTCGCGCGACTGCTCCCTGTTCGTCCGTGACGGCTCGCCTTTCTCTCCGCTCGCGTGCTGCGCGCCTTCGTCGACGCCCACAGCCGCGAGTAGTTCTTGCCGAGCAATCGATCTTTTCGCCACCTCGGTACGTGTTCGATATGTTACGCATATTTGATCTGTTCATATTTTACTGCTTAGTTTACATGTGTAGATCTAATGATACGTTCATGCTAGTTTACATCTGCAATGTCTTGATTTATTTATGGAATAAATTAAATCATTATATGCTTATAATTTCAACAACAGTCCAATCCATAAGTTGAACCCGTATGCCAACCCATGGATCCTACCCATGACCAACCCGCCAAGTATGCATGTAGCCTTGTTTTCTTTGGTCTGCGCCAACACAGCAGCAGTGCAGCACAACAATTCAAAACAACGATGTATGAAAAAAGCAGCAAGAAGACAAATGGTCAAACAATAATATATACGTCATGCTTCTCATTAAATTTGCAAATAAATCCAGATGAAAATTAACTGAGCACAGCCTAATTTTTTTTTTTGAGAAACACAGTACAAACGCAGGCGCTCACAACATGCGCACACTCACCCCTATGAACGCACACACGCACACCCTACTCCTATGAGCACCTCCGGAAGACTGGGCCGGCATATCTTGAGATTGACGAAGTCACCACAGGCGCCTCGCTGTCGACGGGTACGTCGCCTACCACTGAAAGAATAATTAGCCGTAAATGCGAGCACCCGTGTCAAATCTAGGATTTGAACCCGGGTGGGCTGGTTCCACCACAAGGAACCTAACCAGTTGAGCTATGCTCACTTCGCTGAGCACAGCCTAAATTAATCAGACTTTACTGAACTTTCTTAATATTACATGAATACACAACTCATATGATTGGGCAAGCAAATACTTGCTACTTTTGCAGTTCGGAGGAGCTAGAATACTTCATTCGTTTTAGCTTCATTCTTGAAATTACATTAGGACCACCAATGACAATCTCTCCCTGAGGTATTGGGGAGTCACTTGTTAAGTAGTATCCATCTTCTGATCAGTCAATCAGCTGGAGAATATAATTACAAATATGTTAAGCATGGGTGAGATGCCAACATATAATAGTGACTTAGACTAATATGGAGATCAATCAGATATTATACTGAAAAAAGATCAGCAAATTACAAATATCAAAGCAGAGTAGACAAGATCACTATATGCTCCGATTAATTCTTTGACTTGGATCCCAAATAATTTGTTAGCTGCAACTATTTCTCACTATAATTTGTGGTAATTCATTTATAAAAAGATAAGCTAGTAACACTCCTTCTAACTTGCCTTCTAACCTTACAATAGTCTCATATGACTAGGTTGTGTGAAGGGAAAAATTTGGACAACTATTACAAATCTCCTTTGCCCTTTGTCACATTTTGAGAAAAAATATTTTGACAATTGAATGACCCTGGAGGAAGTGGCCTTTATGTTCGGTAGTTTGGTACTATATTCAATATATGCATTGACATGAATCAAGGCCAAGTAGGATAATGTATTAGATAATGCAAGTTTCAAATGTTTGTTACATAAAAAAAAGATCATGATAAAATATTTCTATTCCAAGAGTGCGATTCTTGCAAGCCAAGTCAACTATTTTCTCCAAGTAAGGTAGGGCTATGGCTGCCCAATGGGTTGGTTGCACAGCCAGGTTCCAACAAATGTATATTAGTTAATATTAAATTTTTTAAAGGATTTGATTTCAAATTTTAACTCATTATTCACCAACTAATTCAAGACAAAGCATCAAAAAGACAAACTTGCAGAGGAAAATTGGATGTAGTTTACTACTGACAACCTGACTTCCCTTAGTTTCTTCTCTAAACTTGTCAACATGAAGAACCTCACATGAGCCACAAATCACGGAAACTGTTACAGTTCTTTGATTACAGGAAGCAAATACCTGAAAGAACATAACACCATCAAAGAAATGTAGTAAGTTATTCTCATTTATGATTTATCACAACAAGAACAATCAGTTCCTCACCGTAAAAATTTGGCAATATATTGCCACACGAGAGAAGCATAAAAAATGTCTAATCTAATTTATCGATACATGAGGTTTCCAGCACTACAGATTTCCAGCACTATTTAAAAGCCAAATGTGAATTACATAGATTTTTCATGCTATTTAAAAGAACTATTGATAATGCCAATTACATACTTCCCCTAGCCAAAAGAAATCCTCCTACCCAAATTACATATTCTTCACAATGGTTAGTTGGCTCACCACAAAAGAACCGGAGTTGTCAAAAGGAGAGCTGAAAGTATATACACCACAAAACATGCAAGGATTTGGCCTGGTAGAGGACCATCACTTGACAAATAGTTATAGAATTGTTAACTAATTAATGCACTGCACATTACAATACAGTGTTGTCGTAAACATCAACATGCAGCAAGCTAGAGGTGCTGTACTACCTTTAGACAAACCAAGTCAATCACAAGTCTAAGCACACACATATACATATAACATAGGGACTTATGCATTTTTTAAATAACTGCTAAAATGTAAAAGTTCTAGGAGTAACTGCTAATATTCCTAAATCAAGGCAGCAGCAATGGTCCAATAAATAAGCAAATGTGACAGATATTATACCTTTAATCCCCCTGTTTTTTGGCTCTATACAGCTAATCTTTCGCATAAACAAGTGCCTCGAGCACCTATATAGCTAATCTTTCGCACAAACAAGTGCCTCGAGCATCTCTGAATGAACTTCTTGTGTCTCCAAGAATCCTTCCTCCACTGCTGAAATCAGACTCTGAGGGCACGGTGCTAAGTGGAATTGTAAGAAAGTCTAGCACAAACAAGTGCCTCGAGCACCTATACAGCTAATCTTTCGCACAAACAAGTGCCTCGAGCATCTCTGGTGTCAATGAACTTCTTGTGTTTCCAAGAATCCTTCCTCCACTGCTGAAAGCAGACTCTGAGGGCACAGTGCTAAGTGGAATTGCAAGAAAGTCTCGAGCCATAATTGCCAACACAGGAAACTTCTTGGCATTTTTCTTCCACCATGCCAAAACATCAAAATCCTCACTATCATCCTCACACACTTCTAAATATGTATCAATCTTTGTCTTGTGAGTACGTGCAACCTTCCAGTTTGACTTGAAGAGGGTGAATTCATGCTCTAAGCTTTCTTTTGCCCAAAACTAGTGAGCCTACAACACTCCCTCATTAGACTGTGACATGTAGGATACACTCCTTTTTCTTGCAATTCCTTCGTATACACGAAAGTATGATTTCATCTCCTCTATAATAGAGTCCACCTTACTTTCAACATTAAACCCATGGGGAGACACTTTCTCATAAAAAAAAAAATCTAAATAGTCTCTTTTCCTTCTTGGATCTAACACAGTGGTAATAACAAGTGCCAAATTGGAGTTGTTTGCCAATTTTTCATCTCAATATTTTGCAAACTTAGTGTGCATAGGACCAGCCAATCGTGTCAAAACATCGCTGGTTTGCCAATCAGGATCACTTAAAGCATGACATATACAAAGAATATGGGGCAAGAATGTGTGTGCAGCTGGTGTCCTATGAGCTGACTGTTGGTATTTCTTAAAGTCACAGATAGAATCCGCAAGCGCACAGAAGATACCGATGTAGCACTTCACCCAGGAGTATTCCAAGGTATCGATTTCCACAGAGAACGTGTGTGTCAGCTCTTCTCCAGATTCATTAAGGACATGAAGTTAAGATAGGCTAAAGGTAGAGAGGATTTACTAGTGAGAGACAGTATCTACAAAAACCTCTATTTAATCCTAACGCGGTGCTTCAGGCGCTGGTCAGCCCACTGCTCCCAGATATGGCTCTACAACGTACCTGGATAGAGAGGACTTTAGTGTACTTGAGTTCTGTCACCACCTCTACACCTACCTCAAACCTACTTTGGGATACGAAGCAAACATAAGAAATTAACTACCCAGCCACCACGTCTGCGCAGTTAATAACTACTTTAGTGTTTATAACTCTCTCAAGCAATCACTATATTTTAATGGACTATAGTGAACAATGTTTCGTACGTTGATTAAAACTAACTAAGAGGTAACTCTCACGGAATAAATCTTAATTACTCAGAATGATATTCAATTAAAACAGAAGTAATTAACAAAATAAAAGAAATAAGAAGAGGATTACCGACAACTCCGGAATTTCTCCGACTTCCTCTACTCTACTCTCTCCCTAATCTAGTATACAAAAAAGTACAATAGAGTCTCTTGTAATTCAGCTCATGCTTTGGTGTGTGTTGGAATGAAGGATGAGAGGGGTATTTATAGTGTGAGTTTGCTTGGGAGTGTAGAGATCCTCCATGGCATCCAATGGGCATCTTCATCCTCCATGAGCCAAGTGTCCATTTTATGACGGTTTCCACCGGTGAAAACGCCCATAACCATCATTGGGGAGCGGTTTGCTACTAAACGCAAACTGGGCCTAGGCCAGTGGCCTCTGTCAGGGTTCGGCCGAACCCTGGCTGGCTCCGTTGGCCCCGGTTTTCGGCCTGGACACTCATTTTGGGCCCCTCATTTTATTGGTATGGATGTTTGGCCCATTTGGAGGTGTTTAATTGGGTTTTTGTGTCCAAAACTCCATAAGTTCGGATACGAGTTTGATTCTCCTCCTCCTTCATATATATTTCTTCTCAACTTAGGTTGTTTGTCACCTGCATATGAATATACACCAACACTCATGGAAATTGTTAGGAATAAACCCTACCACTATGTTGGATGTTTTATATTTATGGTCTTATGCAGGTATTGACGGCGTTAATTTGGTACTTAACAGCTGCCAACACTGACACACCTCTAGTAACCTCTTCAAAAGCCTTAAGAAATTCACATATTGATTCAGGAGTGAAGTGCACCAGCGGTACCTAAACTTGTGTGGGTGTGTCATCTGGATCCTTAAACTCTCAAAATGCATTTTTGGGTCCCCGAACTTGTCTTTGGTATCATATAGGTCCAAACGGGCTCCGATCTGCTCCATCCGCTGACGTGGTGTCCACGGTAACGCTACGGGTCAGTTGGGACCCACATGTCAGCTCTGTGCATCATCTCCACCGCCCTGGGAGCCAAGAGAGAGAGAGAGAGAGCAGGAAAGAGAGACGCCGGCGGTGCTCGACGCATCACGCGTGGCCAGGACGTGGCAACGCTGAGCTCCTCCCTTTTCTTCCTCAGACGTGTCGCCTTCTCTTCTACATTCTTCTGGAGCCGAACTACTCGGACGAGAGAGAGCCCTATGCCTCTCCGTCGCCCACATTCTCGTCGTCAATCGTGAAGAAGATGACGCTCGCTGTTGCCGACAAGTCGTCTCTATCGCCAAATCTTTCCCATTCCAAACTTCCCACATCATGCCGAGCAAATCTCCTTTTGACCCCATCTCGTTTTATCCACTGCAGCAACGGAAACGCGACCTTGCCCATGAGAGCTCCGGAACTCGCACCAGGCGCCGCCGCCATGACGTCGTCGCTGTTCCGGTCGACATGGTCCATCTCAAGCCAAGCCATCGCGCCAAAGTCATCGCCTCACCATCATGGCCAAAAGCCCTCAAGAAATTTTAAGAATCGTGCACAGACGAGGGAGATCGCCGTCATCTTCTCCAACTCCGGTCGCCGAGTGCCATCGCCAATTCCTCTCTCCCCGGTGAGCCACGGACTAATTAATCGTGCATGCAACTCTTTAGGGACCTCACTAACCACCCATGCACCTTCTCTAAGCATTCCACCGCTCAAGCGAGCCGTCGCCGTGAAGCCGACGTTATCCACCACCGCCGGGCTGTCTTTTCCATTACCGCTGTTACCCAGACCTCGCCATGCCGCAATCAAGTTCCAGTGAGCACTCAGGGACCTGCTAGACTCGCATGCATGCATTTTTTTGCACTAAATCGGGCTGGGACTCTACATGCACAGGCGTATTGAAGACCACCGCCGCTCGCGACACCACTGGCATCGATTCCGGCCACCTCTAGCGACGAGACCACCTTCAACAGGATCACAAGGAAGTCCTCAGCATTTCTTCTTGTGGTTGTGTCGGCCGAAGAATCGCCGTTCGTCAACGGCATCGTCTTGAAGGAACGCCGGCCGGCGAACTCTGCGGCTGCTGCTGCTTTCTCCCTGTGCCTATGACAGGTGGGCTCCGCTCCATTAGCACGTACAGGATTTGATTAGAGTAAGTTTAAAACATGTAAGGTTCTTTCTGTAAATATTGTTATCATATCATATTATAAATATGACTGACATGTGAGTCCCCACTGATACGTAGGCGCTACCGTGGCATGCCACGTCAGCGGATGGAGCGGGTCGGTGCCCGTTTGGACCTATATGACACCTAAGACAAGTTTAGGGACATAAAAATACATTTTGAGAGTTTAGGGACCTAGATGACACATCCGCACAAGTTTAGGGACCGCTGATGCACTTCACTCTTGATTCAGCCTGCAACCATTCTTGGTCAGTTGGTAGAACTTCACAATTTTCAGAGGTATAGCTATTGAAGACAGCTTTGTAAGACAATATTTCTCTAATCATCTTGAAGGTCGAGTTCCAATGGGTTGGTACATCAAGAGCGAAACCAGATTTTGGAGGAAGACTTTTACTAGAAGCAATTGAATTAAACGCTTGAATGCGTGAGGGTGAATGCTCAATGTACTTTAGGATCTCACGGATCTTATCTATTGCCACATGAATCACCCTCATTCCATCTTGAACCAACAAATTGAAGATGTGTGCACAACACCTCACATGAAACTGTTTACCTTCCAAAACCAACTCATCCTTAAGAGTTTTCACTAATTCTTGACAAGCAACGGTGTTGTTACTAGCATTGTCTAAAGTCAAGGTGAACAGCTTGCTACTTAAGCCCCACTCAGTCAAACACCTCATCATGGCTTCTTCAATTGCAAAACTAGTGTGTGAATACTTCAGAGGCTTCAAACTTATAATTTTCTTTTTATTTTGAATACTGCATCAACATAATGGGCCGTGACAACCATGTATCCTAAGTTTTGATTTGAGGTCCACATGTCCGATGTTAGGCATACACGCGAATCAAGATTTTCTAATTCAGCATGCAATTCTTGTTTCAGCCTATTGTAATAGTTGTAAATCTTGTCACGGATTGATTGACGGCCCACAAGTTTAAAGGTTGGCTGCATGGACGCCATCCAATCATCCAAGTAGGGATCCTCAATTTTATGGAATGGTATCTCAGCATGGATGAAATATTTTATCATAAGCTCTTTAGTTTTTTTAGATCAAACACGAAATTTTCCACAGGTTTTTTCCTAATTGTTGATATAAACCTATTTCTAACTTCACCATCAACTAGTGGATAAGATTAAATAATATGGTTTATGAGATGGCTAGTTCCTTATTTTCTAGTCGCTGAAAACATTAATCAACAATATTTGCATTGTGCTTTTGGAAGGCCATCTATCATGACAAGCTCCTGCTCAAAATGTTCCCACACTTTTGCTCTTTTACGTGTTTGTGAAGGCAATTCATGGCTAGAGCTATTGGCAGATGAACTTTCAGAATTTTGCATAGACATGTTTAATAAACCTGTGTTTGACAAGACTAGAAAATTAATATACTTGTGCAGAATTAATATTTACATTTACTGCTTGTGCTAAAAACTAGTGAAATGATAAGCACCATGCCACCATGAGTCCATGACAATATCAGTATAAACAGAGATAAGTGCGAAAAGTAATAAGAATAGTGATAATCAACAGAGTTAGGAGATAGTCATTCAGATCCAACATAAACCTCTAGTTATAAATATATAATGCTTTGAACCAACATACGCCTAAGTTTCCTTTTACTAATGACATATATTACATATGGGAGGGATTAATATCTGCAAATCATGGTATAATCTTGCTAAATTATCCACTTTTCAGATGCAAATCTACACAGCAGAAAAAGAAAATGACAAAGATAGACTCTCCCGAATGCTACAAGCTAATCTGCATGACAAAAAAAAAGAGGGCAGATTGTCCTCCCAACCATCCAGGAGTACAATGGGGGCAAATTTTTTCCATGGTTGACTATCATTGAAGTTCATGCCACTAACAGCATAATCAAGAACTGACAACTACTTCCTACATTTCACAATATAAGTCATTCTAGCATTTCCCACATTCATATTGATGTTAATGAATCTAGATAAATATATATGTCTAGAATCATTAACATCAATATGAATGTGAGAAATATTAGAATGACTTACATTGTGAAACGGAGGGAAACGGAGGGAGTAATAAGTTTTTATAATCTGGAAAGTTTCCTTTTTTTTCCTACTTTCTTCATGAAGATACAACTTTTTTTCTCGCGAGGGAAGTTAGCAAAGGTAAAAGTGATTGCAGGACAACCAAAATAGGATTAATATTAAGTCAAACCTTCCCACGTCGAAAGCAGCAATGGAAGCCTGAACAGCAATCAGCATGGAACTGAATTAATCCAAAAGAAGTGAAAAAAAGGTCAAAACCTCGTTGGCGCCGTCGATGGCGAGGTCGATGCGTGGGTGGTCGATGGCGAGGTTATCGAGGGTGGAGAGCAGGATGCCGAGCGACTGCGCCTACCCAATCCCGCCGCCACCTCCCCTTTTCTTGAAGCGACCTCCTCCTTGTAGAAGCCTGAAGCGACCTCCCTCTCGGGCTCTCGGCGGCCTCCTCCTTGCAGAACGGGAGCAAGTCTGGAGATGGTGGCGGCGCGCGGCGGTGACGGCGAGCGGGTCACGGCGTAGTAGAAGCGACCTCCCTCTCGGCAGCTCCTCCTTGCAGACCGGGAGTGAGTCCGGTGACGGTAGCAGCGCTCGGCGGTGGCGGCGCATGGCGGTGGCGGCTCATAGTGGTGGCGGCTCGTGGCGGTGGCGGCTCGAGGCCGCGGCTAGCGGAGCTGGCGGCGCGCGGCGGTTGCGGCGCACTCTGCACGGGCAAGGGTTTTCTATCGGAATTCGGGAGTTCGGGAGTGGAGTCTAGGGTTTGGGTGTCTTTTGGGGGCTAACCCATGGGCTGAGTCCATGGATTGTCTTCACAGGCCAACCTGTATCCACTCCAGTCCAAACCTCAATTCTTCATAGGCCAACCCACTCCAATCCAAAATTAATATCAACCCACTTGAATTCAACTACCACCATCCAAATTAGCATCCAACCCATTTCACTCAAGGAAAAATCAAGCCACCCCACTAGCAGGCTTAGTTACAACTTTTGTAATTTCTGGTGTTTTTCTGTTCTTTTTCCTTGTAATTGTAATTTTTTTGCTTTTAATGAAAATCACACTGTGAGGTAAAGTCCTGGTACTACTTTAAGTTAAAAAAATAAGATAGTTTGGAGACTTTTCGTATGTTTCAAAATCCTATAGAAATCCAAAAAATACGACATTCTATTTTTATGTTTTTTCTATTTACGTGCTTTCTCAATTCAGGGTTTCAAAGTTACCCTGAAATTTTTGGCAATACTAGATAAGGGTGTGTTTAGTTCACGCCAAAATTGAAAGTTTGGTTAAAATTGGAGCGATGTGACGGAAAAGTTGAAAGTTTATGTATGTAGAAAAGTTTTGATGTGATGGAAAAGTTGAAAGTTTGAAGAAAAATTTTGAAACTAAACTTAGCCTAAGCCAAAGGCTGTGTTTAGTTCATACCAAAATTGAAAGTTTAGTTGAAATTGAAACGATGTGACGGAAAAGTTGGAAGTTTGTGTGTAGAAAAGTTTTGGGATGTGTTTAGTTCCTGAAATTAGGGAGAAGTTTGGGAAAAGTTGGTAGTTTAGAGAAAAAAGTTAGGAGTTTATGTGTGTAGGAAAGTTTTGGATGTGATGTGATGTGATGGAAAGTTAGGAGTGGAAAGTTAGGAGTTGGGGGGAAGTTTAGTATGAACTAAACATAGCCTTGATGTGAAGAAAAAATTGGAAGTTTGAAAAATTATCTTGTAAGTAAACACGGCTAGACTACCTCGCACGTTCTTACCGACTACTACTGCAGGTCTGCAGGCTGCAGCGCACTTGAGTGCAGGAAGGAAGCTCCTGCCAGTCCAATCACTCCTCTTCACTCTTCTTCACTCAAAACCCCAAACCACACCAAAACCCACCTCCGCCGACCACCGCAATGCCCGCCGACGAGGAAACGCCGCTGGTCGAGGAATCCACCGCCGCAATCATCTCCCGCGCCGGGGCCGCCGCCGTCGCCCGATCGGCGTGCTTCCTCCTCCCCCGCGCGGGCGCCACCGCCGCTGCTCTCCCCGGCTGTGCCCCCTGCGCGGGCCCGGTTCTTGGCGACGGCCACCGCGTCGAGTTCTGTGGGTGGCCGTGCTCGTCCGCCCTGTGGCGGCGGTGGGTGGAGAGGCTCCGGCCGCGGCACGAGCCGCTGTGGCGGGAGGTTGGGATCCTGGACGCCGTGCTCGCCACCGCCGCCGCGTGCCCGGTGCGCCGGGACGGCTGGTTGGTGCTCCAGCTCGCCGCGTTCTGGTGTGGGGCGACGAGCTCGTTCGCCTTCCCGTGGGGGGAGGCGACGGTGACGCTGGAGGACGCGGCCGTGCTCGGCGGGCTGCCGCTGCTCGGCGCGCCCGTCACCGCGCGGCTGCCGGGCACGCTCGCCGGCGACGACGCCGCGCTCGAGGCCGTCCGGGCGGCGCTGCACCGGAGCAAGTGTAAGAACTCCACGTATTCCACGTGGCTCCACCACTTCCTCGGGCGCGACGGCGGCGACGGCGACGGAGAAGACACGGAGGCGGAGGCGCAATCGCTGCTCGAGCACGGCGCGTTCCTGGCCACGTGGCTCTCGCTGTACGTGCTCCCGGCGCCGCCGTTCAAGGCGGTCCGGCCGCAGGTCTTCCCCCTCGCCGCGCGGCCAGAGCGTGGCGCTCGCGCCCGCCGCGCTCGCCAGCATCTACAACGACCTCACCGCGCTCAAGTGCCACCTCGCCTCCAGCACCAAGTGGCGCCACCCGTTCGTGGCCTGGGCGCCGCTGCACGTCGTCCAGCTCTGGGCCTGGGAGCGCTTCCCGGAGCTACGCCCCGACAAGGCGGCGACCTCTGCTCACGCCACCGCCGACGGCCATGGCGCGCCACCGCCATGGGCTGCCCGGTGGCACAACGCGCGAACGGAGCTCCAGCCAGCGCACATCCACGCGGTGCTCATGTCACCAATGGAGTTTGAGTGGAGGCCATACGGAAGCAGTGGCTTCGCATTGCAGCTCGACAAGGTTGGCATCTGGATTCATGGCCGGGACATTGCCCGGAGTAGGGAATTGTTGTCGTTCGCGCATTGCCTGCGCCCCTGCGAGCTTGTCGGCCTGCGCTGCGTCGAGCACTACCTCCCGCACCGTGTCGCAAGGCAGCTGGGCTTCGATCAGGACGTTCCCGGGAACGTCCCCCGTGCCAGCTCAAATTCAAGTGTTGCTTGGGCAACATACAAGATGGAGCCTCAGGATGTTAAGTTCACTCTTCCTCGCCATGAACCCGGTGTGACGGTTGAGTATGCGCAATGGTGGGAGCCGTATTCGTCGGCGTGTGCGGCTGCTGTTGCTAATGCTGCAAAGATGAAGCAACTTGATGGTGTTGATTGTCCAAGAAAAAGGAAGGCTGAAGGTTTTGTTGATGGAGACTCTGGCAAAAGGCGGCATTTGGAGATTGCAGAGGATCCAGAGGATGAGATCCCTCTCATTGACAGACAGAACAGTATCACCATGATGGTGAACGGGAGTTCCAATCATGTGGAAATTGTTGGAATTGGGAAGGATTCGATGGCAAGCTGGGCAAGGAATGGTGGAAATGGATCACCTCTCCATAAAAGTACTCAGCAAGCTTTGTCTGATGCAGAGGCAGTTTTGGAGACTACAGTTGGTGAAGATGAAGCATCAGACCATGTTATCGCAGAAGATAAGAAAAACAGCAATACAGGAGATGGTGAATCAGAGGTCTGTTGCCTCGTCGAGGATGCAGCAAGCGACGACAGCAACAAAGCCATTGGACCTGCAGCTTCAGTTACTCGGAAGTCAATACCCAAAGACGTCATGGTGATCAGTGATGATGAATTCGATGAAGAACTCTCAAGCAAGGACGATGAGATGAATACTATTTATCTGAGTTCAGACCCAATGGAAACAACAAAATGTACCTTGCAAAAATTGGATGTGAAAAGGGAGGTGGTTATCACAGGAAATGGTGAGCAGGGTAGTCCACTATTGAAGGAAGTAAGGGTTCATAGCAAATGTTATGACATCATAGAGATCAATGATGATGAGTCTATTGAAGTTACAAGAAAGGAAGATGAGGCGATCGCAATGCATGTGAATTCAGACCCAATGGAAACAACAAAATGTACCTTGCAAGAATTGGATGCGAAAAGGGAGGTGGTTATCACAGGAAATAGTGAGCAGGGTAGTCCAGTATTGAAGGAAGTAAGGGTTCATAGCAAATGTTATGACATCATAGATATCAATGATGATGAGTCTATTGAAGTTACAAGAAAGGAAGATGAGGCGATCGCAATGCATGTGAATTCAGACCCAATGGAAACAACAAAATGTACCTTGCAAGAATTGGATGTGAAAAGGGAGGTGGTTATCACAGGAGATGGTGAGCAGGGTAGTCCTCTATTGAAGGAAGTTAGGGTGCAAAGCAAATGTTATGACATCATAGAGATTGATGATGAGTCTGGTGAAGTTACAAGCAAGGGAGAGGAGGCGATCACAATGCATTTGAATTCACCCATGTTGGACAAAATAGCATCCACATTGAGAGAGGCAAATGAGGAAAGCAAGCCAGGCAACACAAGTGATAAGCGGGAAAACTCAGTGTTGAAGGACATGCCGCGAAACAATTGCGATTCCGAGGACGCTACCGTTCTAAACGATATCACCCTCAGAAAAGAACTGGCTGAAGTAACTCATGTCTCTAGTGCTCAAATTAATATTGATACCTCAGAAGCATCCACTAAAGAAATGAGGGCATGCATTACTTCAGGGGAGGCAGATAAGAGAGGCAAGCTCAACAAGAAAAGGCTAGCTGCTTTGGAAGGTGATGAAAAAGAAAATGAAGATATGTCAGTATCAAACCAAGAAATAGGATCTCACATGGATTGCCAAGAAGTCAATAAGAAAGGTATGGTAACTGATGAACTGACATTATATCCTACACATCAGTCTAGCAGAAGCAAATGAAATACCGCTAAATTTGTTGCTAATGCATTCCTTTTATCCTTTTTCTTTTGTAGGAAACAATGAAAGTTCTTCTAGCATTCTGGTGGATGGAAATGCTGATCATGTCAAGAAAACAGTTTCTACTAAGACGCCCTGCAAAAATGCAGATCAAGAAGGTTTCCACCAAAGCAGCGAAGTCGGAATGGAAGAAATGGTTAGAGGGGCATCTGAAGCTCAACAAGCACAAAAGGCTCAACTGGAAGCAGCAATCGATGGTCTCAAGGAAGAGATTGCAATGCTAGAGAGGCAGGTCAGGGATACTAACCCTAGGAAAGCTTGATGTTTAACTTCAGAATATGTAATAGGTTCTTGGGAGTTTAGATGGCATCTCCTGATGTTGGTGAATCTCTTTAGTATTAAGCAGATGTTCTGTGTTTGGTCAGTAACTTGGATAAACCCTATTGTCTAATGTCTATGCATTAGAAGATCTACTTAGTGACACATTACTGATATGTTCTCAATTTTGCTCTTGCTGGCTCCTCTTTGGACTAATGGTTGAATGGAAGTAACTTTGTCAAAAATGATGCACATATCGACAGTTTTTTTTTTATTTCTTTTAGTTCTAACTGACATCCAAGCTGGGTATCCTATTTTACATGACCGATTGGGTATTGCAATAGAGTGAATGCACATAATCACTAAGATAAAAACAAAATCTAAGTTGGAATTCGTGCTTACAATTGTGCTTCGCTAGCCTTTTCTTTAAGAACATGATCAGGATGACATAGCTAAAATCAAGACATAAAGGTTTGATAGGAACACCATAGAAAGTTGGAAACGGAGACTGCAACTTCCAGGTGATTCTTGTCATAAGTGGTTTGAACTTTCAACAGGAATTTGTAGTTTTTGTACTGTCTTCAAATTTAACATCAAAGGATATTGTGTAAAGAAATCGAGCTCCTGTTCAAATAGAATTCAAACTATTACATGGATCATGAGAAGAAAATAAAATGGTGCCAAACATAAATAAAAACAACCGTAGCAAATGGAATACAAATACTGTGTCCAGAGAATAGAAGATCTACACACTTGCGTCCAAGTATAAATTTACATCTTGCAGGACTTGGCCCTCACTCGATTTACAAGAGGAAATAATGTCTTTGAAAAATGCACTGCCTTCTGAAGCATCAACATTAGGTGCCTAAGACCGAGGGAAAATCCAAAAGAAGCTTGCATTGAGTGGTTGCCATGGTCAGCAATCTGAGTTGATTTCTTTTGCTGGCAAGTTATCTTCAGGACTTGCATGCATCACAGCACCCCAATCAATTTGCATAATCCAACATGAGTGTAGTTCAAGCCTTAAGATAGTTTAAACTCCAGAGTAGGCCCCAGCCGTGCTCCATCGTCACCAAAGTTCAACTTTCAAGAATTGCTCTCTCACTGTAGAACATCTTCTTTAGCAGAAGAATCCAGAATATGGTTGTGGCAAACATGAACTTTGGAGCATTATAGCCTGGAAAGCTGGACCTCTCTTTCACCACTGCAATTGTGATGTCAGTTTGTCACCCTGTTGATGCTGAAGTCAATTCAAAGCATGGAACAACCCAAAACTGTGGAGTAGAAGTACTGCCTTCTTTTTTTTTTGAAACAGGACACAGCCATACAGATAAAAGTAAAATAAAATATAGAATAGAACAAATATAGATTCCACGAAAGAATGTACAGATCCATATCGTAGTTATAATACTTTTGCCAAATTTGTCAATTTGTAACTTATCATATAGATACTATCCAGATACAGATTAACATGATAACATCTCGGCACACTAGATAAATATTGGAAGTTATAGTTTTCACTTTTTGGTCATCCTAACTGCAAATTTGAAGAGCTAGCATAAGGTAAACTTTACCCGTACATAAATATGATGGCCCTGTATGGTCGAGAAGGTTGAGTATGGATTTCAGAAGTCAGAACTACTCCAATCTATCTCTGTAGAAAGACAAGTTATCAAGAAGTGATGTCTTAGTAGAATGAAAACATTGCTCTGCAAAATATGTCGATACAAAAACAGAGGCTCACCATTTCATCCATTTCCGGGACAGAGTCTATGACCAAATATACCTAATTGACAGACATAATAGACTGATATATACTCATCTTAATGCTGATTGCTGTCAGGTCAAGCCGCAAAATTTCTAATATGCAGCTGATGATTACTGAACTAGTTATGCCTGCATGCCACTGTAATCCTTATTTACAGTAGTGCGAGATTTTGTTAATACGGTGACAGTGTGACACCTATCAGTATGGGACCATTTGCCATACTCTGTTGCTTTATCGAATTTGTTACAGGTGAAAAGTTTTGTACCACCACAGAGGTGCACCATCTGTTACCCATCCCCCACAAGAAAAGCTTGCAACTTGTTGCCATCCTGATCCTGTACCCAGCTATAGGCTGGATTTTTCTGTACTTTCCTCGATTTCATTAATTTCCTGATCTTGTTTGCTTCATTCCATCTCCCAGTCTCAGCATACATGTTTATCATAAGAGTATAGTAGCCTGAATGCTCTGGCTTCAATTCAAACAAATGCTCTGCTGCCCATTGTGCTAATTCGATATTTCCATGTATACGGCAAGCCCCAAGCAATGCTCCCCAAACATCGGAATTTGCAGGAAAAGGCATGTCTCTGATAATTTCAGCACATTTAGACAGTTGTCCAGCACGCCCAAGAAGATCAACCATGCAAGCATAGTGCATTTGCTGTGGCTCAATATTTTGAGCAACCATCTGACTGAAGTATTTCTTCCCTTTGTCTACAAGCCCACCATGGCTACATGCTGCAAGCACTGCAATGTAGGATACATGATCATAGTCCAGACCATCACCTTTCATCAGTTCAAACAATTCAAATGCAATATCAATTTGACCATGCATCCCATATCCCAATATCATAGTATTCCATGAAGCAACATCCTTCTTTGTAATCTTATTAAAAATCTTTGATGCAGTGACAAGCATTCCACCTTTAGTGTACAAGTCCAGCAAGGAATTAGAAAGAAAGGGATGGCCACTTAACAATCTCCTAACCAAAACACAATGAATTTCTTTGCCATGCTTAAATACAGATAAGTTGGTACATGCTGATAGAGCTCCCATGAAGGAAACAGCATCATAATCAATTCCAACAGACCTCATCTGCTTAAAAAGAAGAAGAGATTCAAAACACCATGGACTCTGTGAATATCCCAAAATCAAAGTATTGTACGATACATCGTCCTTCTCTGACCTTTCAAAAATATTCCGTGCCAAGCTCAGCTGTCCGCATTTGGAATACATATCAATCAGGGCATTTGATATGAACAAATCGAACATTAAGCCTCTACGGATCGACCATGCATGGATCTGCTTACCCATCTTTAGAGAGGCCATCCTCGCACAAGCTGGAAGCACATTCACTAGTGTGATAGAATTTGGGCATTCCCCACTTTTTTGCATATCTGTGACAAGCCTGAACGCCTCAGTCTCAGCTCCATTTTGCACAAGATTTGCGATCATTGCATTCCATGACACAACATTGCGGTCCTTCATTTGTTCAAAGATGGTAGATGCTTTCTCCAAAGAACCAAATTTGGCATACATATCAACAAGTGAGTTGGCAACAAAAATATCCAAGTCCATTGCTCTCTTTATGCTATACCCATGCACCTCCCTTCCCAAATCAAAACTTCCAAGCTCAACCAATGCAGGAAGCAAACTAGACAATGTGATAGAACCTGGCATGACATTATGCTCTGACATTTTCCTAAACATTCTCAGCACATCACCATAAAACCCTGCATTAAGAAAGCATCCTATTGCAGAATTCCAAGAAACCTCATTTTGTTCCAGCATTCCATCAAACACCTGCATCGATGCCTCAACATCCCCAAACTTACCATACATATCAACCAACGCATTCGCGAGATTCACCATGGTGTTCAAGCCAACTTTCACTGCCAACGCATGGATGCTCAACCCAAACTTCTCCTCTTGCTCTGTGCCGCAGGCAGGCACAACTGACACTAAGCTTGCCACGTTCAAAGGAAACCCACTCCTCATCATGCTCACCAGCGCCCGTCTCGCGTCATGAAACATACCGTTCACCAAGAACGCTGACACAAGCGAGTTCCACGAGACGACGTCCCGCTCAGGCATTTCGTCGAACACCCTGCGCGCGTCGCAGGCCTTTCCACAGGCCGCGTAGAACGCGACGAGGGTGTTGCCCGTGAAGACGTCAGCCAGGTGCCCCCGCCTGAGAGCCGAGGCGTGCAGCTCGAGGCCCTTATCCTCGGCGGAAGCGACAGCCGCGGCGGCGGCGTGGAGGGCGAAGGGAAAGGTGCGGTCATCCGGGCGCACGGCGGAGCGGAGCATGAGGTTGTACACCCGCAGGGCCTCGGAGGGGAGGGACGCGGAGGAGAGCGCGCGGGAGAGGGAGTTCCAGAGGAATGCGGAGCGGAGACGGAGCGGGTGGTGGCGGAGGACGAGGCGCGCGGAGGCGAGGTCGGAGAGCGCGGCGTACGAGAGGAGCAGCGCGCCCGCGAGCGGCAGGGACGTGGCGAGCGCGCCGGAGACGAGGGACGCCGCGTGGGCGCGGCGGAGCGCGAGGCCTCCGCCGCCGCCGCCGCATCCGTGGAGCTCGAGGACATGCGCGTGGAGGCGCGCCGCCGACGCGGCGGGAGCGCGCGGCGGCATGAGAAGCAGAGGAAGTGGACTGGAGCAGGGCAAGGCGGGAAGCGAGAAGGCGCCTTCGAATGAAGAAGGCGTGGGGAAAGCGGCTAGAGGAGTAATGTTGCGAGTCCTACCCTCGAGGCGCGCGAGGTAGATTAAGGCTTGTCAAGTTGGGGTAGATTTTTGGGTTTGGTCGTTATATTAGATATATAAATATACATTTGAAGTACTAAACATAGTCTAATAATAAAACGATTTATTAATCATAATTAATCCATCATTAGCAAATGATTACTGTAGCACCACATTGTTAAATCATGGCGTAATTAGACTTAAAAGATCCGTCTCGGAATTTACACGCAATTTGTGTAATTGGATTTTTTTTGCCTATATTTAATACTCCATACATCGATGTGACAGCGTGAAAATTTTTGTTTTGAGAACTAAACATGGCATCGTGCACGCGAGGGGTTAGACTAAGAATCGATCAGGGCCCACTTGCGTTTCTCTCCTACTGCGTGACGAAAAAAAATCTTGCACCCATACACGTTTGTCCTTTCCTTTTCCCTTTGTTTCATGTTTTTTTTCTCTTCCCCACGTTTTATCTTTTCTTTTTTCCTTTTTTTGGATGCGGTAAATTGGGATAATAACAGGCGGGAATTGACTAAAAACAAAGTTCAATAGAAAAAACACATAAATAATTTAGTTAAAACTTTTAAAAGAATAGTTGAAATTTCAAATATGCAGTTGAAAGTTTTCAAAATTCGAGTTTAAAGTTTCAAAATCTTGAGTTGAAAGTTTCAAATCTTGGCTTGAACGTTTTCAAATATTGAGTTGAAAGTTCAAAATTCGAGTTGAAAGTTTTCGAAATCTGAGTTGAAATTTTTCGAATCTTAAGTGAAAGTATTCAATTTGGGTATGATTTTTTTATAATTTTTTAAATTATTTAAAAGTAATTTTTTAAATTTTTAGTAAAAATGTAAAAGAAGTAAATGTAGATCGTAATACCGGAAACTAATTATGTAAAAGGAAAAAAAGAGGTGCGAAAAAAGAAAAGAGGAGACACGGTGGCAACCAACTGCGTGAATATTTTTTTTTTCAATTTTTGATCCAACTCCTTGTGCAAGAGGTGCGAAAAAAATGGCAACCAACTGCGCGAAAATGAAGTCTCGAAAAAAGATAATAAAAAAAGGGAAAATGGGCCACGCACGACTGTGTGAGGGATAGGCTCAAAACGCACGCCACTTAAATTCGCGGTGCTTATGCACTAATTAAGAGTTTCAGTGAGCTTGAACGGGAGGTAATGGGACAATTCTAGTACTATATAAAGTAATAACAACTATTTTGGATAAAATTTAAATTTTAGAAAGACAACTATTTTAAATCAGAGACAGTCAACAAGCTAATGAAAGAAGCAATTTAGATATCTCATCTTCTCTTGTTCTCCCCCTAATCTTCTTCCTTAGCGATGGCGACCAAGCTCGCCAACGGTTAGAGGTGTAACGTAAAGCTATGTAAGGTGGTTTGGAAAAAAAGGGAGATGGATTGTTTTGAAACCAAAGCATGGAGATAAGCCCCGTAGGTTGGATAATTTTTGTAGCCCATGAAAGCCTTTGTGGTTTTTATTCCTTGAATTCATGTGAGTATATGGAAGTTTTTTTTTAACCTTTTAGCAGGATGATTGTTTGTGGTTATAAAAGGAAGAGTAAATTGCACTTTGGGCCTACCAATGTTTAACTTTGTACTGCCCTTACAATGTTTTGTTTTCACTTTGGACTATATATGTATTATGGCTAGATATTGCCCTTTGAACCGGGTGGCCCACATGTAAGTGGCACATAGACAATAAAGATGTTAGTCCCATTGACATGTGGACTACCATGTTTAAACTGCAATATTTGGCAAACGATACCTAATCCAATTTTTTTTAAAACAAAACTTCAAGAGTGGTTAAAAGTAAAACTATGGTAAGAATATATGGCTAAAAAATGCAATTTACTCTAAAAGGGAATTATCACATGGGACATCTCCTCAAGGAAAATATATAATCATCTCCATATGAGGACACAACATGTTCCCTCCCATGCTAACTTTGACCAATAATAATTTTTATATTATTTTTATGTGTTAAAGTTATATTTTCGGAATCATTTTTTATTATACTTTTATAATTGTACAGAGCTCCAACTCTTTACAAGTTTATTGTTGAAAAAGTAGTGGTCGAAGTGTGTATCGTTTAGTCAATACTTTCAATTATTGAGAGAGAGAGAGAGAGAGAGAGAGAGAGAGAGAGAGAGAGAGAGAGAGAGTAGGAAACAAGTTAAATAATGTAGAAAAAGCCACCTAAGTCACTTGACCATTCACCTTACATGCTTTCTTTTGATTTATTTTTGGAGTTGTTATCATTTGTGCTGCGGTTGTTGTCTTATTAGTTTGACATTTTAATGACATTCTTTTCATCTACAATATTAATATTATACTGACCAATATTAATATGTCAAGAGATTACCTTGTAATCCATCTACAAATTATCTTTGTGGCTTTGGATTGACAATCAGAAATTGAGAATACAAAATATCAGAAAAAAGGATTGACATTTTGATGTTACAGCACAGTAAGCTTCCACAAATAATGATGAATGATCTACTGTTTGCATAAAAGAACATACAACATGGTGTTGGCACCAACTATTCTGAAATAAATGTGGCTTTCTAAATTGGTTTGTAGTTTTTTTATATTATCTTTGTATCAACCTTTATCTGATTCATGGCTGTATGGATATGTATGCTTCCCATTATTGGATGTCGGATTCACAAGCATTTACAATTTAGAACCAGCAAGCCAGCGGCTATAGAAAGCCAATGATTCTTGTGGTTTGTATTCAGGAACAGTGTGCCCAGCACCCTGCAAACAAAGAAAAAGAAAAGGGAAGGAAACAAAGTTAAATGCAATTCAACCTCAATTTTTTAGATTTTTTGTGTTTGAATGATACAATCATATTAGTTTATATATTGTGTCCTCTTCTTACTTAAGTGGGTAATCAAACCATATTACATTCATTTTGACCTTAATTGTGATGCCCTGGTTAGAAATGTATACTCACCTTAATGGTAGCAAAGGTGAGGCCATGTTCATATCCTTGGGTGTACCTGACGAGTTACATAATATAATATAAGTAGACTGACCGATGAATATCATATATATTTATATAGTTTGAGTTTCTGGAAATAAAATCCAATTAGAATCTTTTGGTTTCCTTTCATAAAAGCAATGATAGCAGCTGTTGAGTAAATTTACTCTGAGGGTAATAATTCAACTAGTAAAATTTGGGGATACGTGTGATTAATACCCAGAAACTTGGCCATTCAGGTGCCACGGTCTCCATGAATCAATAACTCCGTAGCCCAAAGATCTGGTCCATGCTTCAGTCCCGGTATAAGGTACACACATATCATGATCACCACTGTAACAAATATAAAACAAAATGCCATGACCATTGGAATCACACTTTCTTTTCTAAGAGTATAGGATGTGAAATAAAAAAAGCTGGCACAAAATTCGCCTTTTTCCCACCTGCGAAAAGCTATTTTTTATAATTCAGAAGTTAATAAGGACGTTCCCTCTAAGATCCATAACCAATCAATAGGGTAGGAAATTTTTTTTGTGAAAACATCGTTTTTATAGGCACATGTCGGACCTGTATATGAAAGCACGATAACCCTGGCCTGTGAGGTTCTTGTGATAACTGATCATACTTCCAGCATCATGGATGAAATCCAACACGTTGGTGCATATAAGCCACGAGCCAATTGAGCTTACCTATCATGAGCGTATGTAATAAATTAAAGTTGTAAGATGAAAATATTGTAAAATTCTATCTAATTCTGGGTCGTCACTAAATGATTGCCATACTGGTTGGGCATGAATTGCTGCTCTGACGTCATCGTTGTTCAGCCATGCTGTTGCAACTTCATCACTCTGCAGTTTAAGCAAATTAGAGGCTGTCAGTTAATAAAGTCCTCCATGAATGCATCAGGCATTCTTCCAGAAATTCTTCTGTAAATTATAAAAACATGTGTAGTTGTCAAGGTTAAGAGCCTCTTATTAATGACTGTTGAACATGCTCTTAGCAGTCATATTTAAATATAAGTCAGGGATTTCTTTGTTGGAAAGGAAGGTATAAAAATATCAATGCATACTTTCCATGTTAGCACAAAATGGACCAATATTTCTGCAAGACTGCAACATACCATTCTCGCAATCTCACATACCACTAGAAAATACACCCTCCGTCCAAAAAAGAAAAAAAAAAGAATTCCTAGCTATGAACCAGGACACATTACACATCTGTCCAGATTCATAGCTACACATCTGTCCACATTTTTCTTTTGGGAGAGAATCGAGAGATATTGAGCTTACCATACAAGGAACTCCACTGGGGCGAGATCCTCTGGCAAACTCCTGCCAGGATGGCACACGCCCCGCTCTCACAGGAGCTCTCAGAGGCCAAGCACGCCCATGCATTCTTGTTCTTACAGCAAGGGGCTTGGTAGTTGTACCAAGATGTTGGAAACTTTTGGGCAATTTGGTATTTGCTGGGGTCACTTTCTTGATAGTTTTGCTGTGGTAGCATGGCTCAAGAATGTCATAAATATTTAGGTCATTAATTGACTGCACAAGAACAAGGTATATCATAAGGAGAACAGCGTTGATTCAATGATATCTTTAATCAGATGAAGTAACACGGCGGTTTATTACCGTATCGACTTTGTAGAGTGCATTTTCACATTTATCAGTGGTAGTATTCCAGTAGTTTCCGTGGCATGCAGTCTGAGCTTCCTGAATTTTGAATACATAGAATTGTGTAAATGGTGTTTAGTCCATTCAATCATATTCCAAAGTAGAGTCTGTTTGAAATTGTGTGCAGAAGTACATATATAAAAGTGATCTCCTAAAGATCAATGGAACCGAAAAAACAACTTTTGGGGAAAAAAATCCATAGAATATGAAAAAAGGGTACTCTGATTCTTTCTCATAATGTGTAGGGGAAATATTACTGAAATGGGGCTTTCAATCTGAATAGTGGACTTACCTGGTATATATCGTCTGAAATTAGAGCCATTCCATGAGCAAATGGCACAAGAGCATTACCATCAAAAACAGTGTCGCAAACACCATTTCCGACCATGTAGCCCTGACATTCAAATCCAAATTAGATACATGTTAAACTATAGACCTCCTAATAGAAAACTTCCATTGATCAATATGTAACCTTGAAGTTTATTGTAGGCTTCACTCCATCATGTAATCCTGCATAACAATTCATAAAAAACAAGACCATAAGATGTGTGTTAATTGTTGCAACATGAGAACAATCCTAACTCAAAGAAAAATACCTTTGACAACTTCATGCGAAAGAGTAGGAACATAAACCCCAGCATACGACTCCCCAGCTATGTAAAATGGATTGCTCAGGAACTCAGGGTACAGCTGAAACCACTGCTGACAAGATATAACAAAATTCAGCTATCTTGCACAGGCAGATGATTTTAATTCACCATACTGAAAATTATAGAACACACATATATAGTACCTTCAGAAGAAAAGTATGCGAATCCGCGGCGGTCTTGAGGTCCCCGGTGTTATAATCCGAAGTATTCTTGGAGTATGACAGCCCCACACCAGCAGGGGAATCCAAGTAGATCACACTGGATACCTAAGCTCACACACAGAAAAATATCACCAGTCTCATTCAGACAACAGAAAATTTCAGCTCATTATGTATGCAGGGCCAATAGATATATGGGCATGGCCAACCTTGGACCAGCTATAGGGATTGAGATGAAGCTTCGGTAGGCTCTTGGCTGACCCTCCTGACTCGAAATTGAATGGTCCTGGAAAGCACACGCACACATATGAACTGGTGCATAATAATGATCAGGTTCAACCACACGAATCATCAAGCCCCATCAACCAGTTGTGTTAAGGCTGGAATTAAACAAAATGAAGACTTCTCTTCTTGAAGGACTGAGATATTAAAAATGAAAATGATATAGAGATGAACGCCACTGTGTGAGTTGTTCTTTTCAGCTTATTTACCAAATTATTGTGGTAGATTATTTACTCCACGTTTTTAACAATATAATTTCTCAAATAGAAAAGAATTTGTGTACTGTATTTCTTAAACCACTTGTTTAAAACTATTTATTATTTATTTCCTAAAATGTTTTAACATATAAGTATATATCTAAAAATCAACTATAGATAATCCATTATCGTGTCAACCAAGTTCCCAACTAAATAAGTCAATTCTTGCGGTGATAGAAATACTACCTCCGTCTCATAAAAAGTGAATTTAGGATAAGATGTGATACATCCTACTACTATGAATCTGGACATACTATGTCTAAATTCATAGTACTAGAATATGTCACACCTTCATCCTAAAAAAGGAAATATAATACTAGGATGTGACATATCCTAATATAACGAATCTAAATATAGAGTATATTCAAATTCATTGTATCAGAATGTGTCGCATAATGTACGAGGTTAATTTTTTTCTTGGAACAGAGAAAGTATTTGGTTATCCATTATCCAATGATGTACTCCCTCGGGAAAAAAACCAATCTAGAAGGGGGTCACAACAGTCAGTTGCACGCAACAGCCGTGTGCAGAGTGCAGACTCAGATCAGAGATTCTTCTTTTTTGTTTGGCTAAAAAAAACAGAACAAATCAAAATAGAAGCTCAAATCTCAACTACGCTGCAGCTTTTTACGCGATTTGTGGTGAAAAGGCCATCGAATATAATAATCGAAAGCAAAAGCAGCGGGGCCCACCACCTCCCCTTCCTTCCACGGCGAGCTGCGGCCGCCAGCCTCAAGCCCTCAACCACGACGAGACGACTCGCCGCCGCAACGCGCCGCGGCCGGAGGCTAGCTCCGGCGACGGCGAGGGGGCAGGAGGTGTGTGTGTGTGGATGGGATATACGCACCGTGCTCGTAGACGAAGCCGTCGAAGCTGGAGCAGCCGGGGCCGCCGTTGAGCCAGAGCACGAGGGGGTCCTTCGCCGGGTCGCGCTCCGACTCCACCAGGTAGTAGAACAGGTTCCGCCCGTGCTGCTCCTCCACCGTCACGTACCTGCACGCCGCCGCCGCCGCCACACGACACGAGCTAGTAGATGTTAGCAGCAGCAAGCCAGCAAGCGCGCGCGCGCGGCGCGACGGCGCGGGGGGCGGAGGCGCGCGTACGTACCCGGCGTAGTGCTTCGACGGGAGGGCGCCGTCGAATCCCGGGACGCTCTTCACGACCGCGCTCGCCGGCGCGGCCTCGCATACTCCGCCGCCGCCGCCGCCGCCGCCGTAGGCGAGGAAGACGAAAAGGGCGATGGCAACGGCGGGCGAAGCAAGGGAGCGGCGGCCGCGCCTGGCCATCGATGGTGCGGGTGGTCGGCAGCAGCGTGGCGCAGTGGAGACCGCGGTGGTGGTGGGAAAGTTGAGGCGCACGGATAGAAGAGAGAGAGAGAGAATTGGCGTCCAAGGCACGATGAGAGGTGACGGCGACGGCGTGGGTCTTTTATACCGATTTCTTGGTCGGATAAATTTGGCGAGTTTTGAACCGAATTCTGGCGAGATTCGTCTCTTCGAATTTTGGGAGCGGTTTCGTTGGCTTTTGTTTGCACGCGCAGTTGCGCCTCCTGACGCGAGGAGGCTGGTGGTTTCGAGCGCAACAAAAGCATATGGTTGTGCACTTGTGTTTGGGCCAAGTATAGTACTCGTAGTACGGAGTAGCAAGGAGTTACATTGCCGACAAAAATTGGCTGGTTGTCAGCAAAATGACAACACATGTACGGCATCACGACGTTAGCAACGAGCCTCTGCAGTCTCCACCTATTAAGGCCCTGTTTCTTCCAAAGTTTGGGATTATTATAATCCAAATTATTGAAAGTAAGCTGAAAGAAACAGACAACAATAACTTATTGAAATAACTTATTATAATCTGGATCCTAACTTATTATAATATGATAAGCTCGTTTATGTGAGCTTTTTCCAAATTATTGGGTGAAAAACCCACCATGCCACCCCACTCCCTTTTTAGACTTGCAAACCCAATAATCTAGGCTCTAATAATCTAGGAAAGAAACAACTAACCGCTTATTCTACTACAGATTATAATAATCTAGCTTATAGTAATCTGACTCAATAATCTAAATTATAATAATCCCAAGCTTAAAGAAACAGGACCTAAAGAGCTTTTGGGACGAGGAAAAACCTTGAGTCTGTTGATCTTTTGATAACATTTGATTTCTACCAACTAGACACTGTTGATCTTTTGATAAACATTTGATGATTCATCTAATTAAAATAAACATATAGTGATTTTTTATTTTTATGTGGCTTGGTTTATTATTAAAGTTACATTGAAGCAACATTTTCGTATAATTACACAAAATTTTTTGAAACAACCCGCACAAAATAGTGCGAAGTTTCTACTGATAAAGAAGGAATAAAATACAAGCCTATAGTCCTGAGAGACTATAGTCAAGGGAAAAGAAAATATACAACCACACCACGCGTCTACTCAGTTCCTATTGCTAAATACAGTGCACACAACACCCCTAAGGAATCCCCTCTCCCCCGCACTAGCCCGTCCAGCGTGGCCATCTTATGGCGGCAAGCCGCTGCCACAAGAAGACATACACCTGGAACGAAGCTCGCCGCAGGCTTCAACACCCCCCTCATAGCGCAACCATCGTCACCGCCTCAACCAGGCTACCCGTGTTCCCAACGGATGCTTGGTCGCATCGTCATCGCCTCACCGCAGCCATCGCCTCACTGGCAACCGCCGACCACCGGGAGCGTCACCACTGCCGTCAGGCACCACCACGGCCCCCTGGCCGCTCCAAGTCGCGTCGTGCAGTCATCTGCTGTCGTCGGCCGCCCTCCGTCGTCGCTGGCCGAGCTTTGCACGTGCGCCACCGTGGCCTTTGCGAGCGCCGGCCTCCACCGCCGCCGGTCGCCACCGCGGCCTCCATGAGCGCCGGCCTCTGCTGCCTGCAGCCGCACCTGGGCCGGCTTCCGTTGCTGTCGTCCGCACCTCCGCGCGCGCCGGCCTTCTTCACCGGCGGCTGCCCGCCGCTAGACGCCACAGCCTCCGCCTCCCGTCGTCGCCGCCCGAGTAGCTTTGCTCCGGCCAGATCCGGCGCGATCCACCCGTGGGGGGACCGGATCCAGCCGCGGTGCCACCGGATCCGCCGCCTCCACGCCACGTCGTCAAACCTCTGCTCCGTGCGCCATCCCGCCTTCCACGCGCAGAGACGGTGCATCGCCGAGATTTGGCCTCGCCGCCGCCATCCCGGCTGGCTGCACGGATCTCCAGCGGTGCGCTCCGGCGGCGGCGAGGGGAGGGAGAGGAGGAGAGAGGGGAGGCGGCGACGCTAGGTTTTTCCCTCGAGCCGCCCGCGCGTTACACAAAAGTTTTGAATAAGCCAAATGATCAAACATCTATAGAATATTAACAACATTATTTATTAAAGAAACAATGGTTATGAGGACAAAAACTCTACAACAGTCGTGTACTCAGATTATTTTATCCCAACGTACACCTAGTTCTTCTGTTTTCTATCTTGACGATTGGCCAAACCATGAGTCGTTAATTATATAATAGTGATAATTTTCCTCGGGCACTTTTTATTTTCTCTGTGCACGTTTGGGAGAACCATCAGGCGCTACTGACATTTTGGCAACACATCGTGAGGAAATTTTGGCTTCCAAACAAAAATGGGATTTGGATTGTCTGATACACACAAATGGTGAGCCTAGTGCCTGGGAAACTGTCAATTGACATGACATGCTCCAAACATGTTTGCTATTTAGGGATGTGTCTTATTGGCTCTGATTAGCGAGTAAAACGAACGAAGCATCGAAAATAATTTATAAATACCCTCAAACTTATATATCTATACAAATATCGCAGTTTAAAAGTCAATGCTGAAAAAAAAACTACGGTTAAAAGAAACCTAAACTTAAAATAGTTTTAAAATTTAAATTTGGTTCCAAATAAACCAACAAGCAAGTGATTAGGAGAATGAATTTACTAGTTTGAGGCGTGTTTACAATACTGTATTTATGACATATGGTTATGTCTGCAACGTGTTTAGGACCCTTGAGAGTGTTTTACAGTCACAGAAACATGTTTAGCTTCCATTTTGAAACACAGAAATTGAAAAACACATGAGTTCTTTCAAGAATGGTCATTTTGTATAGCCACGGGAAAAATACATAAATTGGATGGGTGAGAGAAATAAAATCAACGGAATTTTTTCAAAAGGGTGAACTGCACGCTAACTTTCAGTTAATTTAAGTCTCCATGCATTGAGGCATTCGAAATGAATTTTATAGGATCCATTGATCCAATGGTGCCCAATCCTTTCTTCCAAAAGGCAATATCAAAAAAAAAATCATATATGACTCAAATATTACAAGCATCCTCGATTTATCCTTTCGAATGCCCCCAAAGGTTGACGAGCATGTGCGGAACATGTTTGTATGTTCGTCTTTTTTTTTTCAGGAACGGATGTAAAAACATAGGATTGTCCATCTATATACAATTGTAGATTGCGACTTAGTGTTTTACATTCATGGGTCGAATATACGATGGACGAGACTTTAGGACATATTATGGATTATAGTGTGGCAAGCACATTCCCCAACCTCCTAAGCAACAAAGTTTTTTCCAAAGTAATTTCTTTATCAACTAGGAAGGTAGCCCACGCGAATGCGCGGGCATGTATCATAGGATGCATTGCTTAGATAAATTTTTAACCTATTTGTTAGCTTTATGCCATATAATATTTAATCAACCTTTAAGCAATTTTCTATAATCTTCTTCATCATCTAAAATAAGACAAATTTAGTATATTTAGAAAACATATCTACAAATTAAATGTAATTTAAAAGGTGGGTGTTTCTTTAGGGGATAACTTTTTTCTATCAAATCTTAAAAATACTTTAATTGCTATCAAAGGTGTTTTATTTGTACCGTCTAGCTAGCGATTCTTTTATTTGGTTTATATTGATGCAGTTTAATTATTACTTACATATGAATAGGACAGAGATGATATACATGCATGTATCCTAGGTCTCGTTTCCCTATGATATCTGTGATCTATTGTATTTCTTAAAAAGAAAAAACCTAATCAACTTGACCCTTAAAAATTAAATTTAATAGTAAGAAATATAACTTCTAAACCGATTATGTACTGTAACCTTAGTATGTTGCTTATATTTGCAATAATATGCAGAGAAATTCATAATACTGTGGCGTACGATAGAGAAAAAAATTAATCTAAGCACTTAATTAAAAAATTGATGTGATGCAAGAAAAATCATTAATATCTAAGACAAAAGAATGAAGCAAAATAAGTTATAAGATTTTCACCAATAAGTTCAATTAATGTAGTTCATATTGGCATTTATTTTTTTATTTTTTTGTTTTGTTTTATACAAGTCAGCACGAATGCGTGGGCATGCATCGTAGGTTGGGTTTGAGAAGCATACAAGGATAGAATATCACCGGAGAAAATCTACCACACTTGATATATTCACATTTTTTGTTAGTATTTCTTATATAATTTTAACCTATTAGTTACCTTTATACCATATCATATTCAAATAATTTCTATAAGCAATTATTTATAATCTTCTTCATCATCTAAATAGAAGGTAGACTTATTTTGTTTCGAAAACATGCCTACCAAATTAAATGTAAAGTAAGCAAGGTGCTTTTTTGTTTTTTAATTGGATTACTGATGTTAGCTAGGTCGCCCATTATTTATTGACAGATGTATTGGGTACAACATGAGAGGCTACACTACATTCATGGGTTTGTAATATGATTGCATAGTTTGAGAGACAATCCATCTATGAGCATTTTATTTAGAGTGTGTGCGAGGCTCCACATAGCCTATTATGAATACGATTGGATGGTTAGATATAATTGTGTAATAATTATTTTTAGCATGTGATGTATTATAAATACATCGTTGTATAATATATGTATGAGGAGGACCCGTAAGATATAATATGATATAATAGTAAAGCAAATAACCAACATGATCTTGAATTGTTGATTTGATTAGAAAAACTAAAGCTGCTCAAGTGTATCTTAAATTAAACGTGTAGATCGTCTAAAATAATTGTTTATTTACAGCACCAAGATCACTCCTATTGTAAATCCCTAGCGCTTGCACGTTCACACCTAAATCAGTCTCCATGAGAAATATATTTAATAATTTATGATGATAAATTATGGTGTACATGAATATCGTGTATTTAGAAAAAAAAATCAGGAACTGGATGCATGCATCAATCGAGCACACCGAGGCCATATATAATTATCCTGCCTAATGTCAATGATAAATCAAGCAATCAAATAAATAAACGTTGCAGCTACCAGATGTAATTGTCCATGTACATGCATGTGGGTCCGCGATAGAAGGGTGATGGGGGATTTAGTTTTGATCCAATGGTCAATAGTATTGGGTACACCGCTTTAAA